GAATTATTACATTTTTTTTTCGTATAAATTATTCGTTGTTGAGACAAAATATTTTTTTCTCTTTTATATCGAATTGAATTTCAAAAAAAAAAAAAAAATAAAAGAGAATGTAAAACAACAGGAAACAAAATAGAAATAGAATAGTATTCTATTAAAGTTTAGTTTAGTCCTTTGAGAGACATTTATATTCTATCTAGACGAGAAAAAAAATAATAATCTTTGGAAAATTGTTGTTGTTGTTATTGAATGGATACACTTACTTAAGAAAACTTATAATTGTTAAAGTAAAAAAAAACAACAACAAAAATCCAATCAATTCAATGAAATTCTGTGTAATTGGGAAATTTTCAATAAACTATTTCAAAAACTACAAACTAGAGAGAGACCGCCTACCATTAAGCATCATCAACATATTTTTCCCTACTTGTATGCACAAGAGAGAGATTCAAATTTTCGAAAGAATATTTTTTTTGTATGGAATTTGGAAAATTTTTCATTTTCTTCAAGAATTGCAATTTGCAAATCAAAAAACAAAACAAGAATTACATAACTGTTGTATTCGGTTATTTTCATTTTTTCTTTTTCTATATTTGACATTCGAATAACAGTTGAACAATATTTTTTTTCTGTTGAATACAATATTGAGTTTTTGATTTTTGATTTTTGTTTTTCACAAATAAATATGATGATGAATGAATGATTTATATTTGACAAATTTTTTTCTCTCTCTCTGTCGGTTGTTTTGATTCGCCAAACATTTCAAACATCGGTTGTTTGTTTGCTATAGGAAAAAAGGAAGGAAGAAAAATGAAAATTTTTGGAAAGAAAATGAAAAAAATTTTGCAAACGAGCTATTCATCTCGTTCAACGGTTAAATGAAAAGGAATGTCATAATGTTTTGAAGTAAAGAAATAAAATGAAATAAAATAAATGAATCGTTTTTGAATGAACGATGTTCCAAGAAATTGTGGAATTATTGAACAACAACAACAACAAAAATGAATACATCATGCTGTTTGGTATGTCGTTGATTTGCATGTCATACATTGACAATTATTTACAAAACAAACAAAAATTGTGATGATAATGTAAAATCTTCTGTTTCAGGTTTTGTTTGTTTGAGTGAAAGAATTTCTGAAAACAAAAAAATCTTAAATGTGTTGAATGTTCTCTACCCTTAAGGGTAATTTTCAATTGTTTTATCGTCGGAAATAGAAACAAAAAAAAAATCTAAATCGGGAAAAATACATTTTTTTGAAAATGAAATGATAAATGAGACACATCCATAGATCATTGAAACATTGATTTTTTGCAACATGAATAAAACTGTGAAGAAGAAGAAAAAAACATTCATTCAAAATCAGTGGAATAAAGAAGAATTTGTCCATGGTAACCGAACCAACCAACCAATATTGAGAATAATATGTTTTCACTGTGTTTATTGTGTTTATGCATCGATCGATCGATGATCCACAACTCATGAAAAGTCCGCATAAATACATTTCATTTCATTTTTTGTTTTTTTGGCCAATATGGACATTTTTATGTCCATATAAATATGTCAACAACAGATTTATATCGATTGTAATCTTTGTTCTTCTGTTATGATTAATTTTTTTTTTTTTTTGTTGTTCCAATCGGTTGTCAATGTTGGCTGGTCGTGTGTGTGTGTGTGTCATAAGCAAATTCTTTTTGTTTTTTTTCAAGTGAAAAAACAAAGAAAGAAAAAATATTGATTAATTATAAATGAAAACTATAATTGATTTTGAAAATTTTTTTATTATTATTATTTTTTAAAAAATTGCATAAATTTTCTGACATTTTCATAAATATTCAATTTTAATTCATTCATTTTCTTTGTTTGAATAATTTTTTTTTTTTTTGTAAAAATTGTAATCATTTTTATAAACAATATGTGGCGCCATCGTCTTCACAATATCTAATGTTACTTTTTTTTTTAAATTTCGAATCACAATCACGGATATCGTTCGACAATCATACCATGGCCCTGTGAAAAAGAAATTTAAAAAAAAATTTTTTGTTAGAGATACATACTACAGAAACAAGTTTATAAAAAGAAACTAAGAAAATTGTCTGTCCTGTTATATCTCTTCGAATGAAAATCAATTGATTTCGCCGTCATCGAAATGAAAAACAAATTCGGTATTTTGTTCATTCATATTTTCGGTTGACGTCAATAACGTAAAAAATGATTGAAATTTAACAAAATAAAAACAAACTTACGATACCACCAGCAGCACAAGCAGCGACAAAAGCCAAACGGCCATTTTCTTTATGTAATCGATTAGCAGCTGTTGTAACTAAACGAACACCGGTTGCACCAAACGGATGACCAATAGATAATGAACCACCCCAATTATTTAGCTTATTCATATCCGGTGCTCCAATCGGTGTGCTACGACCCATATAATTTTTGGCAAAAAATTCTGAATCCAATGCTTTCATATTGGCCAATACCTGTCCGGCAAAAGCTTCGTGCAATTCCCAAACATCAATATCTTTTGTCGATAAACCAACTCGATCCAATAATTTTGTAATGACATAGGCAGGTCCTAAAAGAAGTTGATCTTTTGGATCAATTGAACAGTATAAATGTTGGCGAAGATATGCTTTCGGTTTTAATCCTAATTCTTTAGCTTTTGCTTCAGGCATCAATAAACATGCGGTTGCTCCATCGGTAAGATAACTGGAATTCGCAGCGGTCACCGTTCCGTGTGGTTTAACGAAAGCCGGTTTCAATTTAGCCATTTTTTCCAACGAAGTAACACGAACGCCATTATCTTTTCGAACCAAACCTTTCTGTGGGACGACTATTGGTTCAATGTCGATCAAGAGACCATCTTTATAAGCTTTGTCAGCCGATGAATGAGATCGAAAAGCGTATTCATCCTGTTCTTGTCGTGAAACCCGGAATGAAGCACTCAAACGATCACTAGCATGACCCATTACTTCACCAGAGAAAAACTCGGCCACAGCTGGTAACTAAGATCAAATAGATCATTAGAATTAAATTAATACTGAAGCAAAAAAAATTTACTTCAGGGGCAAAATAATTTAGTTTCAAACTTGAAATAATCTTCAAACGTTGTTGTAAAGTCTTGGCTTTATTCAAGTTTAATAACATTTTACGCATAGGACGGGAATGACGAATTGGTACGTCGGACATGGTTTCAACACCACCAGCAATGACAACATTATATGTACCGGAATTAATGTAACCAATACCGGAGGTGATTGCTTGATTTGCTGATACACAAGCTTGTGAAACAGTATTTGCTGGAATTTTTTCGGGTAGACCACAAGCTAACAGTGCTTCACGGGCAACGTTCGGTGTTTTCGGTTCCTGGATGACCGTACCACAAATAACATAATCAATTTGGTCTTTTGGGATGTCGACTCGCTTCAATAACGATCTTTTTTTGTTTGTTTGTTAAATTGAAACAAAAATCAGATGAAATTTTTACGGCAATTAAAAGTTATAAAAAGGCTTACGCAAGAGCATATCGTTGAAGTTCAAATGCCAGCAAATTATCGTAATCAGTTTGACTTTGTGTGAACGGTGTACGTACACCTTCAATAAGAACAATATCTTTACCATATTTTGAATTATCAAATTTATATGATCCAGTTTTAACGGCAGGTGCAGCTGCAGCCGTAGTTGCTGTTCGAGTCAATAATTGTTGAGACAATTGCCAGGTTAATGATTTGTTGATTCGAATTAATGAAAACATTTTTCCGTTTATTTGTTGTTGTATTCAGTGAATGTTGATGTTTAGGAGAAAAAAGCCAGATGAAATAATAAAAATCCAAATCAAATCAAACCAAATATTATAGTCTTAAAAAAGCAGAACAATTGTACCCAATGCACTTGGCATCTCAATTATCATCACAATTTATTTTGGCCGATGAGGTACATATGATTTGTTTTCATATATGACGTGTCTAAATTTTTTTTTTAATTTGAATAATTTAATTTAGAATTGTAATAGAATTTTTATTTTTATTTTTTAGAAATTCATTTAGAAATACAAATTTAATATGATTAAATTTTTATCCAGTTTAGATTAAGCTATTACCACCATCGACAACAATGTTTGCACCAGTAATGAATGAACTTTTATCCGAAGCTAAGAATAGTACAACATTACCAACATCTTCGATTCGACCAATTCGTCGTAATGGAATCGTTTCCTCCAAATGTGATAATACACCTTTAAGAGTTTCACCAGCACCACTAGCTTGTTGGAAATTTGTTCGCATTGCTGTCGGGCTATGTAAGAAAGTAAATCATAATCAACTATCAGCTCAGTGTATTTGAAACATTTCATATTTACCTGACATAATTCACACGTACACCTTTAGGTCCTAATTCGATGGCAATCGATTTACAAAACATATCGATTGCTGCTTTAGCCACACAATATGGCATGAAATATTGATTCTATGATAACAGAGAAATATTACAAACTCAATCCAAATTCATTGCAGATTTGTTATAATCAATTACCGGTTGTTGTCCTAGAATTGAAGATATAGTAACAATGTTACCTTTGGTCTTTTCTAGATGAGGTGCAACATAATGTGTCAACATAACTGCTTGATGTAGATTTAAATCCATCATTCGACGCATTTTGTCATCTAAATCTTCATCGAAAATAGAACCAAAAGTTCCACCACCAGCATTGTTAACTAAAACATCAATTTTGCCAAATTTTTCAATCGTTGCATCAACCATTGCTTTAAGTTGTTGTTTGACAGTAACATCGGCTACATAGGCCAACATTTCAGCTTGATTTGGTGATAACATTTGACATTGTTGTAACATTGATTGAACACTCGATTGTCGACGTCCATTGATGACAACATTGGCACCACGTTTACAGAATTCTTGTGCCAAATGAGCACCAAGACCACCAGATGAACCAGTTATAAGAACAACTTTACCAGTGAAATCATAATCCGAATCGGTAGTGTTCATACGGATTTGCGAAATTGGCGTATTTGATTGTTGAACCTTACGTGCAGCCTCGAACAATGATATCGGCCATAGTACCATGACCAATAACAGGGTAATGAAATTGATTTTTTTATTGACAAACATGATGATTCCTTTCTATCCTATCAATGTCACACTAAAAATGAAAATACTATTCATTAATCTTTTTGCATGTATATTTCAATCATTTGAAGCCAGAGAAAAAAAAAGATTTTTCTTTGCTGTCGATTTTATATTCTAAACCTTGATCATCTTTATTCATTTATTCATCATTGTGATGACAATTTTATTGATCGATAAAAGTAACTAAAACTACAAAAGAACTACCTCAACATCGATAAACAACTATTCATTCATTTGTGAATGTGCAATGCAACCAAATTATAGTATTCCGGAGAAATGTCATTGAAAAAATAAATAAGATAAAAATCTTACTTTTGTTTTATATTTTTTCTTCTCTTCACACACACACACAAGAAATACGTCAAAGTTTTTTTTTCATTTGGTTAATCAATTCTAAAAACAATAAAAAAAATAATGGAAAGAGAAAATACAAATTTTATTAATGGGTAATCAATTTATCAATCAGTAAAACTGTGAAATGATGATGATGATGAAAAAAAAGATAGATATTTGAATTATGGATTGAAAAAAAAACAGCGAATCATTACGTCAATCATCAGGCTTTTCCGGATTAATACCACAAGGTTGTAACATTTTTTCCATCATATTGAATTTAACACGACCAATTGATTCATTTTCAGCGATAGCAAAAAATGTCAACATATCCGGACGACCTAAATATGATGCATAAGTATCACGATGTTGATTGACCATCCATTCGAATTTGGTCGTATCAGCATGTCCAGTTCCAATATATTTGGATTGTAAATGTTCTAATTGTGAATGAATATTGTAACGATCAGTCATGATTATGAAATTTACAAATTGTATGATTGATTAACAAAATTGATGATAAATTTAATCAACAACAAAAAAAATTCATGAATTTATTTAACCATATGATTTGAATAAAAAAAAATACAGACAATTTCATTGTTTTTTGACTGATGTAGATATTTCAACAGATTTAATGAATGATCCTTATCCTGGATACACGATTTGCAACTGCTATATTCATTTTGTACTCGAGCTTGATGTCTACCATTCACATATACTAAATAAATATTGAGTTTGAAACATTGAACGAAATTTCTGTTGAACCGTGTAAATACGATATTAATAAAAATTGGTAGTGGTATAATGAACAATAATGCTATCCAATCTATGATCTTGTTTCGTTTATTGAATCAAAATGATATTGTTATATGTGTACCCGTTTAAAGACCTTTCATACGCGTTAAAGTTTAATTAATTTTCAAGTGTATTTTGGATTAGAATCTAAGTGTTTTCCGATCAAGAAAAAAAAATCGAATCTTAATATTTTTTTTTTGTTTCAAATTTAAATCAATTGCCAACTATTTTTTTCAAGTTATTTCAGAATTTTTCTGTTTTGTTTTGTTCAAACCTAACCGAAAATGTTTCGATCCATTGCAACAAAATTATATTCACCACGTTCGGATAATATTCATTTGATCAAAAATATGGTCATCCGAACATCATCATCATCAAATGCTCAGCCAAAAACCGACAATAAAAAAATGGAAGCAAAAGTTGATCTGGACAGATTAGATAAAATTAAAATTCCAGAATCACATTCATTTGTACAGAATTTATTCGCCGGTCGTGCCAATACCGAATTTTTTCTTCCTTATCCACAAGTATTAAATAATGAAGAAATCAGTTTTCTCGATATGATAGTCGATCCTGTATCAAAAATGTGGGAAGATAAATGGGATGAGCTGGTCAAACTAGAAGAAACAGAAACAGTACCTGAAGAAGTAATGCAAATGATGAGAGATATGGGTTCATTTGGCATACAAGTTCCTGTTGAATACGGTGGTATGGGATGTAATAACACACAATATGCTCGCCTTGCCGAAGTTGCTGGCCGTTATGATTTAGGTATCGGTATTGTACAAGGTGCTCATCAAAGTATTGGTTATAAAGGTCTTGTATTGTTTGGAACACCCGAACAAAAAGCAAAATATCTTCCTGATTTGGCCACGGGCACCAAAATGGCTGCATTTGCCTTGACTGAACCTTCTGCCGGTTCGGATGCTAGTTCAATCAAAACTCGAGCTGTTTTAAGTGAAGATGGTAAACATTATATCTTAAATGGTTCAAAACTCTACATCAGTAATGGTGGATTTGCCGATTTTTTCACCGTATTTGCCAAGACTGAAATCAAAAATGAAAAAGGTGAAATCAAAGATAAAGTAACCGCTTTTTGGGTACCTAGAGGTCCTGGCCTAACTAATGGTCCTAATATGAAAAAAATGGGTATCAAATTTTCGAATACGACTGAAATTTGGTTTGATAATGTCAAAATTCCAGTCGAAAATATTATTGGTGAAGTTGGAGAAGGATTCAAAGTTGCTATGAAAATTTTGAACAATGGTCGTTATGGTATGATCTGTGCATTATCTGGAACGATGCAAAAAGCAATCGAAATGGCAAGCACGTATGCCAATACCCGAACACAATTCGGTAACAAACTATCAAGCTTTACGGCCATCCAGGAGAAAATCGGTCGAATGACTTTGGCTCATTTCGTAACACAATCGCACGCTTACATGATCAGGTATTTTTTCCTCTTTCTTTATTGATTTATTAATTTATCGCAAATAATTTTGTTTCTAGTGGCGTCATTGACAAAGGAATGGCCGATTTTCAATTAGAAGCTGCCGTTGGCAAAATTGTAGCATCTGATTCAGCCTGGCATGTCTGTGATGAAGCATTACAAATTTTCGGTGGTATGGGATACATAAAAGAAACCGGAATCGAGAAGATGCTTCGTGATACACGTATATTTAGAATATTTGAAGGTGCCAACGAAATTCTTCGATTATTTATTGCATTAACTGGTCTACAATATGCAGGCGGCCATTTACGTGAAATTCAAAAAGCAATGAAAAATCCAACAGCTAACTTGGGTTTAATTTTTATGGAAGCTTCGAAACGATTAAAACGAACTGCAGGTTTTGATGCTCCAGATATGACGGAAAAAATTCATCCATCGTTACATCCGGAAGCACAAATTTTATCGAAAAATATTATTCTATTCAGTTCGGCAGTTGAACATTTACTTATCAAATACAACAAGCAAATTGTCATGGAACAGATGTTATTGTTGAGATTGGCTAATTCTGTCATCGATATCTATACAATGTTAGTTTTGCTTTCACGAGTAACATTATCGTTGAACAAAAATATTCCTTCTGCTGAATATGAATCACAGCTATGCAAATTATTTGTTTCGGAGGTATGTATTTTTCATTATTTTTCATTATTGATCTAATTATATATTTTTTATTGAATACAGGCTAATATGCGTGTGAATCAAAATCTTTCTGCATTACGATCACCAGCCATATTGAAAAACGATGAATTGATAAGGAATATCGCTGTTCAAATTTTTGAAAACCAAGGCATCGGTCATCAATCACCATTACATTCAAATGAATCTTCCTAAAATTTTTGACTGAAATATTTTCTGCTGCTTTATTAAAATTTGTTCGAATTTATTGTTAGAATTGTAAATTAAGGATGATTTTTTTCTTTCAAGATTTTATTTATTATATTCTTTTTCATTTGACCCTTGATATGATTATAAAACAAATATAAATTATAAATTTTTTACTTTCAAACGTTTTTATGATAATCCGTCTAGGTTTTATGATTTACGATACCTTCTTGAATACTTATTTTTGTTTGATCCTTTTTTGTTTCTGTCATCTTCTTCGTCGTCATCATCTTCTTCGTCATCATCATCTTCGTCGTCATCATCGTCCGATGATTCGGATTCTAATGGTGGTGGTGGTTTTCGTCGTTGTGGCATTCGTTTCATTATGATTTTTTTACTACGTTTAGCAAGTTTTTTCTTGGGAATTTTTTTAGGCCATTTTTTGACCGACTTAATTTTAAAAGGTGGTGAGGATTTATACATTCTGGCCGCCTTGCCGTTTAGTTTCGTTTGTCTGTACAGTTGTTTATATGAATCGGAGTTATCTTTGGCTGCATTGAATATATGCTCATAATCGGACGGTGCAATTAAAATAGTCGGTGCATCCGATGGTAAATCCATACCTAAATCTTCATCCTGTTTGGATTGATAATAGGTCTTAACTTTTTGACCTCGACTATAAATATGATCATAATCAGACGGTGCAATCAACACTGTCGGCATTGAGGAATCGATTGGTGGCATTGATGGTTGATTTCTTTTTCGTGAAAATATATGTTCATAATCTTCGGGTGCAATTTTTATTGTAGGCAATAATAGATCATCATAATTTTCATCATAATCATAATCATAATAATAATTGCTTGTTTCATCCGTATCATAGTCACCATCCGTATCATCGTACTCATATTGATCATAATCCTTTTTCCTGTCATATTGGCGTTTTTTTGTATATCGACTTTTTTTCGTTGTTTTTCGTTGTTGCTTTTTGTCTTTCCGATTTCGACGCCTAGACATATCGGAAATTAATTCATTCGAAAAGAAATTTTTTTTGAGTCCTGATATTTATATAAATTAAGCAGAGTAAAAAAAAAATAAAACAATTGGTCATTGATTTGATATTAATAAGCTTTTTTTTTCTTTTAATCAATTAGAAAGCCATTCTTTGATTGAAAATTGTGAATTGAATTTTTCTCACATTTTTTTTCTTGTAATATAAAAACAATGAAAATAAACAAAAATTTTCCTCAGAATTGAGGATTTAAGCAGTTGATGGTGAGAACAGTTTACAAATGAAAAAAATTCTCTCTGATTTTGGTTGTTTGGATGTTAAGAAAAGATTTTGGAAAATTTTGTGTAATCTACATTGAAAAACATTAAATTGTGAAAACGAAAACTAAAGAGAAAAAATTGAAGTTTGGGAAATTCTACCGGGGTAGACAAAGAAGAAATTTTAATAATTTTTTTTTTTACTTCAAAATAGTTATTTTTTTTGTTGTTGCTTTATTATTTTCAACCAAAAACAGTAGGTTCGTATTGTTGTTTATTTTTGGTAACGATGATGGTTGGCTAATGAAAATTAATAATGATTGACGATAATTAATAGCAGGCAGGAGGAAAATACGAGACAAGAAAAAAATAATTCAGCTAGAAACACTTGTGGGCGTTTGCTGGTTTATAGCCGTTGACGAATCTCTGTTGACTGATTGTTCTGAATTATTAACATCGGATGAGGCATTACCATCATCGGTTTTATTTCCACTTGAATCATTTGTTCCATTATTATTATTATTATTATTGCTACCATTTGATGTGTTGCCGCTTGCTGTTACAGTTGCAGCACCATTCGTTGTTGTATTTGTTACAGATAATGATGTATTAGTAGTAGTGGGCGTATTGCGATTGCCAGTAGTTGAATTCGTACCAACTCCGCTAGCGGCTAAATCATCATCAGTTTCATTTTTGCCGGTTTCAGCTGTTTCCAGACCATAAAGAAAACCTGAATATCTTTTTTCTTCGATATCATTTTCGAAATACATTTCTTTCAATTTGAAAAATGTTTCACCCGTTAATAGACTATCACTACCGGCTTGATGTTGAGGACCTTTACGAACCAAAGTTAATGCTTCGGCAACCTAGTTTTTTTTTAAAAAAATAAAAACTTAGTTCAAAATAAATAGAAACCAATAAAAAGCACCATACTAACCTCTTGCAAGCCACCTTTCAAATCTTTGGTGCTTTTCATCAAATATTTTAGATCGTAAATTCGTGGAAAGTAAATTTTCAATAATTCAAAAAATTCTGTTTCTTTTTTGGGCAACTGTTGATCGGTCAACATCTTGAGCAAATAACCAAAATCATAGCCTGAATGGAACGATAGCCAAGAAATTTGATCCGACAAAACCACACCAGAACCAATTAACAATACGGCAAATTCGGTTGGGTCGATACCGTCTTGATCATGTTTGTTGAATTGTATACCTGAATTGGTGAGCAATTCTATCGATTCATGGGCATACATATCATCGTTCAGATTGAAACGAAAATTAAACTGCCATGTGCAAAAACCATCAGGTTTTTTGCCTTCAGCGTTCATGAAAGTCAAACCAATTTGTATAATCTTTAACAATGTGATATTTGAACGCATAATTTGATACATGTATTCAGAATTTGATGTAAATTGACCGATCGGTTTGGCCACAACTCCTGGAAATTCTGTGTCCATCGCAACGAAAGGATAATGCTGTACAATCTTACGAATTCGAATAAATTCTTCATCAAGATTATGTGCCCAAACTTCTCGGATACCAACTTCTTCGTTAGTTTGTGGTGCCTGAGCTTGGCCATGTGTTTGTGTTTGATTTGATGGATGACCACCATGGCTACCAGCATTTATCGTTCCGACACGATGTGGTGACGAAGTTGATGATGCAGTGATCGCTGAAGAAGGTGTTTGTCCGTTTGTCAAAGCTGCTGCCATTGAATTCGTATTGACCAGATGATGTCCGTTCGTATGGCCATAAGCTGAAGGCATCCTGAAATTTGATGTTGCTATTAATGTTGGTGATGATGATGATGATGATTGATAGTGTCAAGCAATAATTCTTTTCTAAATCTACAAGTGTGGGAAGGGGAAAGATGAGAATGAATAATTTCCAGGATAAGATGACTGACAAAATTGAACAAATCTAGTTGGTCGGTAATGATGCTGGGTCAAATTGTTTATATCGTTTTTTTCGAATTCTCATCTCTCTTGTCGTTGTTGTTGTTTTTGATAGGAATATTTCTCAATCAGATAATCAAAAAAAAACAATCACAAAAACATTATGCGATACATTGAAGACAGAACACAAATCATACAAATACAAACATACACAGCATATAAAACGCAAAGACGCGCACACCGCAATACACTCGAGATCATTGCACACACAACAACAGTCAAACAAAGGTATTCAATTTCAACACAAATAAATTGTACGTCGTTTTTGAAAAGAAATTTTTACCCTATCACCACAAATAAACACTAAAATCATATTCATCATATTTTCATACTTTTTACGTATTTTAAGAATTGGAAATTATCATATATTTATCATGAAAAAAAGTATATTAAACAATGAAATGAGGGTGTTTAACGATTGTCAATTCTTATAATGGCCTATTAAAATTTTTTAATTGTGGAACAAAATATGTTGTCTCGTTTCAAACTATGGCAATCTTTAATCATTATCAATAATACACGACAAACAATGTTTTCAATAGCAAAAAAATCTTTGAATGATTTGATTTTCGACAATCAAACATTGAAATGTTTGCCCATCGATCATGTTGAAGAGAATTATGTTCGAACTGTGAAAAATGCTTGTTATTCATTAGTCAACCCTACTCCTTTAGATAATCCTCGATTGGTTTGTTATTCATCAGATGCTCTTCGTTTGTTAGATTTGAATTCCGATTCGATAGATGACGATGATTATTTTATTAATTGTTTTGCCGGAAATACACTGATTCCTGGTTCTCAACCAGCAGCACATTGCTATTGTGGTCATCAATTTGGTGTGTTCGCTGGACAACTTGGTGATGGTGCAGCAATTTACTTGGGCGAAGTTATTAATTCTCGTCAAGAACGATGGGAATTACAATTGAAAGGTGCTGGACCAACTCCGTTTTCACGTGATGCTGATGGTCGAAAAGTTTTACGATCAAGTTTACGTGAATTTTTATGTAGTGAAGCCATGCATAATCTTGGAATTCCTACCACAAGAGCTGCTACTTGCATAGTATCAGATACAAAAATTGTACGTGATCAATTCTATGATGGTCATCAAAAGTTGGAACCTTGTGCTGTGATTTCGAGAATCGCTCCAGCATTTTTAAGGTTTGGATCTTTTGAGATTTTTCGCAAACTAGATCCATCTTCAGGTTGTTGTGGTCCTAGTGTCGGAAATCGTGAATTATTGCAGACGATGATCGATTTCACAATCAAATCTTATTTTCCTAATATATTCAGCTCGAGTGAATCACCTGTAGAAAAATATAAAAGTTTCTTTTGTGATGTTGTTAAGCGAACTGCTAAACTTGTTGCCCGTTGGCAAGCATTTGGATTTGTACATGGTGTTCTTAACACGGATAACATGAGCATTTTAGGCTTGACAATCGATTATGGTCCATTCGGCTTTCTAGATCGTTTCGATCCTGATCATATATCAAACACTTCTGATCCTGATGGACGTTATAGTTTTAAAAAACAACCAGAAATTTGTTTATGGAATCTATTGAAATTTGCCGAAGTTTTAGACTCACTAGTCCCTTTCGCTGAGTTGAAAACAATCGTAAAAGATTCTTATTACAAAACTTTTTCAAATGAATATATTGATTTAATGAGGAAAAAGTTGGGTCTGTTCAAAAAAATTACCGAAAATTTGAATGACGAAGAAATTTTAAGTGATAAAAAACTTATTGAAAAATATCTAGAAACACTTGATCTTGTTGGTGGCGATTACACCAATTGTTTTCGAAATTTAAATATTTTAATCATTCCTGGATTGGATGGGCATGAAAATAGTATGGAACAATTGCAAAACAAATTAATGGAACAATCAAGTAGTTTTGAAGAAGCCAAAACATTCTATAAAAGATTTCTTCATTCTCCTATGGTTTATATGAATGTAATTTTGCTACAAAATTTTCAGAATCACTCTGATAATGAAAATGTCATATCAATGCTACAAAAACTTGAACGCTACAAACATTTGAATGTAATTCTTATTTCTAATGATTATCTGCTACAATGGATTAATTTTATTTTTTTTTCTAAAATTAGGAAATAGATGAACACGAATATTTAGAACAATGTCGTAAAAATTGGAATGAATGGATTTCTGCCTATATCAAACGAATTGAATTCGAAACAAAAGAATTTTCTGACAAAGATGATCTAATCAAGTATGATAATGAACGTAGAGCTTTAATGAATTCTGTGAATCCTCGATACGTTTTGCGCAATCATTTAGCACAAAAAGCCATCGAAAAGGCTGAACAAGAAAACTTTGACGAAGCTAGACGGCTACTTCATGCATTGGAAAAACCATTTAATGAAAATCCAGATTTTGATGATTATACTGAACGTCCTACATCCTCAATGTGTACTCTTCGAGTTTCCTGTTCCTCGTGATAATAATTTTGTTTTTTTTTATTATATATTTTATTCTTTATAATTTTTTCTAATTAAAAAAATTAATGATGAAATAGTCGAGTGTTAGTGTGTATCAATGTCAGATTATGTTCTTTACAAGCTTCTATTACAGACTGATCACCAACTGAGCCACCCGGACTGGCTATATATTTGACACCGGATTGATGAGCACGATCAATATTGTCACGGAAAGGGAAAAAAGCATCTGAACTTATGGCTACGTTATTCATTTTGCCAATCCATTCTTTGCGTTCAGCCTCAGTCAATAATGATGGTGGATTTTCGAATGCATTGTTGAATGTTTGTTGATCCATTTCGGTACCAACAACACCAAGTACATAGGCATCAATAAGATTGGAAATTTCGGCTCGTTTTACCGACTTTTTGAATTGAGCACTCATGATTTTTGGATGTTGTCGGAGCCACCAATTTTCTGCTTTATCTCCTGCTAATCGTGTACAATGAATTCGTGATTGTTGACCGGCTCCAATACCAATAACTTGACCATCACGAGCATAACAGACGGAGTTAGATTGAGTGTATTTAACAGCAATCGTAGCAACGATAAGGTCACGCATTGCTTCTTTAGTCATCTACATAGTAGAACATTGGAATAAACATTCTGAATTATTCAAATAAAAACGTTTTTCTTACCTCTCCCGATTTAACAATAATTTTGTCATTACTGAACATATTTTCATCAATGACTGCATCGTTTCGTTTTTGTTCCATATGAATGCCGAACAAGGTTCTCGTTTCGATCGGATTCGGTTCATAATTGGGATCCATTTTTAGAATACAATAGTTACCATTTTTCTTTTTCTTTAGAATTTCGAATGCTTGTTCATCATAATCTGGTGCGACGATACCATCAGACACTTCTCTCGAGATTATTCGTGCCGTAGCTACATCGCATTTGTGTGATAAAGCAGCAAAATCACCAAATGATGACATACGATCAGCACCACGGGCCCGAGCATAAGCGGTGGCTATCGGCGTCAAATCAGCAGCCATATCGTCGACCATGCATACTTTAAGATGTTCAGGGCTCAAAGGAACGGCTACTGCAGCTCCTGCAGGACTAACGTGCTTAAAGGATGCAGCTGCTGGCATATTCAATGCTCGATATAATTCTCGAACCAATTGGTAGGCATTAAAAGCATCGCAAAGGTTGATAAAACCTGGTGCTCCATTTAAAACAGTGACTGGCAACCGGTCACTGGTCGTGTAAATCTGTGCTGGTTTTTGATGTGGGTTCATACCATAACGAAGATTCAGCTGTGAGATACCATTGCTGAATTGTTTACGGAAATAATTCGAAATAGCCTCATCATATTCGGCCGTATGATTGAAAGCCTTTACAGCCAATCTTTTTCGTGTTTCTTCAGAAATCGAACCGTTTGATATCAGTTCGTCGCCAACAATTTGATAATCAGCTGGATCGCATACAATAGCAACGCGGGCAAAATTTTTGGCAGCAGCTCGAAGTAATGTTACACCACCAATATCGATTTGTTCGACAGCATCTTCTACTGATACTCCTTGCTGGCTAATAGTTTGAACAAATGGATACAAGTTACATACAACAACACTTATATATTGATAGTTTTGTTTTTTCATATCTTGCATGTCCGATGCAATTTTTCGTGCCAAAATTCCACCGTGAATAGCCGGATGCAATGTTTTCACACGACCACCCAGCATTTCTGGTGCACCAGTAATAGCCGATACATCAGTCACGGCCATATTGGCATCACGAATCGCTTTCGCTGTGCCACCACTGGCCACTAATTTTAATCCAGCTTGATGAAGTTTTTTAGCGAAATCGATCAGACCAGTTTTGTTCGATACGCTCAATACAGCTGAACAAAGATGATGAGAAATTAATTAATTAATTATTCATAGATAAAACTCACCTAATTCTCCAGACATTTTGTAAAATTTTTTGCAAAAATATTTTCAAAGTACAATGTTAAGAAATGATTAAGAGGGTTTTTCAAGAATTATAGTTTATATATAGAGTTAATAGACTGAATGTACTGCATTTATCAATATTTTTCAATCAAAAGTTAAAAAATTGCTGTTCACGTTCCAATATCATGCTATAACCTTCGTTAGTGGCAGTGTATGTTTGTTTCAGTCTTTGATCATATTATCAAGCTATCAGGCAAAATTATTAGTAATGAGGTGATCACTAGCAAAACAAGTTTATCATAATTCATCCATCATTCCATTATTTCATATCGTACGAATATTTGAAACTATCAAATGCCTTGAAATAGTTTTCCCAAAAACAAAAATTGATTATCAATGATATCATGGGTGATTTGAAAAATCAAAGACAAACAAATCCATGAAAATCAGTAGCTTCGTATCATACATTTCTTTTTTTGTTTTTATATGATAGAATAAATTATTAAACAAACATTTTAATTAAATTTCTTTTATTAATAAAAAATGACTGTTTTTGAATGACATGATCATATTCGTTCATTTTGGTTTAGTTATAAACATTCAAAGCAGCAGCTAGTCCGCGATTATTCATTCGAAAGTTATGATAATTATTTTGATAATAAATAGGTCGTTGAGGTATATACGATCGAAGACGAGGATAATTGTAACGGAGACAATTTCTTGTTCGTGCAGTGATGGAACGAACAAAACATTGTCTTGACCAATTGTGCTGCTGTATCAGGAATAGGTTATTATATGATGAATGAATAAGACATCTTTCCAATTGAATCAATGAATAATGATTACAATTAATGACGAAATTCCGTTGAGCTGTACAGGTACGAATTATTTGCATGATCTGGTCATTATGATTAGCTGCTTGTTGAAAACAATGGGCGATCCAATTATGAGTGACAGGATTTGTACAGGTATTGTCTATATAATAAATAAAATAATTGAAAATTCAAAAATCAAAATTTGTTACGGACCACAGTAGGCATTGATGGCTAAAATTGCATCACGAACACCATTATTTCCAGCAAATGCCAGTTGATATTGACCAAATGTAAGAACAGAATTCAGCATGATGACCATATTGATTATCAAGAAATAGTAATGATTATAAAATATTTTCGTTTTTATTGACAACATAATCGATTCGGTTTTTCATATCAATATTACGTCGAGAACAAAATAATATTACAATTTTAACCCTGAATTAATGGTACTTTTATAGCCATAAGGTTGATGTTTTTTTTGGCTGCAATCGATATGTTATTTGCATAAAAACAATATGTCTTTTGTTGTTTGTGTGTGTGTGTCTGTATGCACAGCTCCGGTTTTGTATGTTTTTTATGTTATTTGTCGATGAACAATAATTAATTTTGTTAATATCAATATAATTTTCTATTATTTATTTTCAATTGATTGTTTTCAATTTCATCGATCATCGATCGATTTAGAGGGATATTGTTTTTATTGTTTCACGGTTGATTAAACTGCATGTTCAATATTCTATTTTACAATGACCTCGACATGTTCATAGAATCTTGTCGAATAAAATCAACGCCATATTCGGCAATCATCATGACCGCAGCATTTGTATTGGCATTATTGACTTTTGGCATGATTGATGCATCGATAACCCGAAGATTGTTCACCCCACGAACCCTTAAATGTTCATCAACACAAGCTCCAGTATCGCTCGAATTACCCATACGACATGTGCCTGTTGGTAAACAGTAAATAATAAAAATAAATATGGAAATGGATAGATTTTCCAATTAATTCTGCAATGATAACTTACTAGTAGGATGATAGGAAGTTAGTGTAAGAGTTTGGGCGTAGCAAGCCAAATAAGTATAGCATTTGTAATACGGTCTATCTGGACAGAATTGACATCCAGGTATAGCTCGTGGATAGATTCGACCATATTGGCGAAAAAATGGTTGTTCCATCATTTCCATTCCAGCACTCATTGTATCGACAGCCACAGCTAAATCGTGTACATCGCCATAATAGTTTGGATCAATTAGAGGCGCATCAAATGGATTTTGTGATCGAAGACGAACAGTTCCGCGACTTCGTGGACGATACATTGCATAGAACACGAAAAAATGACGAGGATCGCCAGCTAATGGCTGGAAATATTCTGCCCATGCATCTGGATCTTGCATATACTGAGTTAATGTTGTCACGTTTTCGGCTAAAAATCCAACGACAAAAAAATGATATACTAAATAAATTATCATCAAACTTACGAATTTGATCGATTAAAGTGGCCATTACGCCATCTGGCCAATCAGCCACATCATTTACTCTTGTTGAATGATATGACAACACAACAGGCAACTGTGTGATAGGACCAGAATTGTTAATGTAATAATTGTACAAATTTTGCACTGTCAAAACATTATCCACGTCTCGATCATATTGAATAAGACTTTCGTTGGTGACCAAATAATCGACTGGTATAAGAATATGATCCTGAAGTTGTTCACCAACTGGCAGATCCATTTGTACTTCTATGCCCATTTCGGTAAGATGTTGTCGTGGACCTATACCTGACAGCATCATAATCTGTGGTGTATTAATGGCACCAGCCGAAAGAATTACTTCCTGATTAGCATAAACTTGATAAGTGCTATTATTGCGAACGAATTCGATACCATATGCTTCCAATTGATCAGTATTGGTATTATTTCGCAATAGAATTCTTGTACAATGACTTCGTACTAATACGTGTAAATTGTTACGGCCGATTGCTGGCACAATGAAAGCATTCGATGTTGAAAGACGTGTATAGTTTTGTGTAGAAATTGTTTGCTGAATCAAAGCTTTTAGTATTGCAAGAAGAAGATTACAATTGCTACAATCGTTTGCTTATAAACTTACTTGTTCCCAATTGATTCGGTCCATTGAAATCGGTATAAGGAAGACCTTGTTGATTCCAACCTTCCATATATTTAAATAGAATCGGATCCGGATTTGGTGGTGATGAAACTTCAACCTGACCGGTAGTAGAATGATGAGCTGGAGCGGCCTCTACATATAATCTGTTTGTATTGTTTTCGGTTCGTAGGAAATAAGGCAACACATTTTCATATGACCATTCTGATAAACCATAATAATTTGCCCAATTATCAAAATCATGTCGGTTACCACGGTTATAGATAGCAAAATTAGTCGAATGAGAGCCACCGACTACTTTGCCACGAGGATATATTATCTGACGGTTTCGGAAGGCGAAACCTTTTCAAAAAAAAGAACAAAAAGACATTGATATTAATGAATATAAAAACATAGCCAAAATGTTCACCAACCAGCGTTAGCCTGTGGTACGGTATAATAACCCCAATCAAATTCGCCGGTTTCAATATTCCATGATTCAATAGGCATATCAGTGATAACGGATGCTGGACCGCCAGCTTCTATTAGTAAAACTGTTGTTGAAGCGTTTTCCGAAAGTCGACCTGCAATCAATGATCCGGCTGTACCTGAACCAACAACAATATAATCATAGGTAGTATTCCATTGGGTACGACTACCGACATTATTATGGATCATTTGCCGTTGAAGAACAACTACAGCTACAGTCAACAATTGATAAGTCAAAGACGGTGAAGACATTGTAATTGTAGATTGTGAAAAAAAAATTCTGGAATGTATACAATACCGTACCAGAATACTCTAACAAGAACAAAAGCAACAGGTTTATATAGAGATTTATACTATTTTTCCTTTCCCGCATAATGCAAAAGACAACCATTATTGCACATTTTCAATTTGTTTTTTTTCAAATTTACAATTCAAATAACAATCAATGATGGTCGCCATTGGCATCATGTTGATGATCAGGGCTAGTCATTATCCAAATACTATTCAATTTAGGAAAAAATTTTTAAATTGATTTTGCTAGAAAAAAAATCCTAATGATCAAGATCCTCAATTATCTTCAATCATATTAGATCGGTTCGAAATTTAAGTTACACAATCCGTTAGTTTTTTTGTTGAAGCGCAATCGAATCCGGAGGCCGACACGCATGCGTTATAAAATCTATTATCGCCATCAATGGCCGAGTCATGACGCTCGCAATTGATCGATATATCTTCGCCGTATGTTTTTGTATTTATGTCAGTGTGAGCTTTGATATATCACAAAAAAATAAAATAAAATTGTTTATCATTTTTGCTAAAATATCAATTTAAATCAGGAAATTATTCATTGAATAACTATCATTAACATTCTGGACATTTTAAAATTCAACCCCTTTTGTTGTTGGAAAAATCCTTTTGAAAATTCTATTTATTTGTTGAATATTGTTGTTCTTTGTCTTTATGTGACTGGTGATATGTTGAAAACGCCTAATAAAATTAAGGGATAAATGTTTTGTTTTATTATTTGAAATAGTAATCTGCTTTTGACATTATAACGAGACCAACTAATTGAAACAACAAAATCGCCATGCATTGAAATTTTCGCGAATTTTTTGTTAGGATTTTCAATTTTTCATTTCATTAAAAAAAATTCAAAATGACTGTTGATTTTCAAAATCATTTTTGGGTAAGTTTTATACTGGTAGATATTTTTTTTTTGCTTATTTTATCCGGATAAACAATTATTTTCATATGACAACAGGGCGATAAACAAAGTGGATTCGATGTCCTTTATCAGAATTTAAAATTCGGCTCATCAGCTGTGAAAGAATTGTCCGAATTGTTGCGATCACGGGCGTTTCTCGAAGAATATAACAATAATTTTCTGACAAAATTATCTCGTAAAGCAAACAGTCCACAACTCGGGTAAGTTGTAACAAAAATAATGTTGATTGTGGTTTCATACAAATTTCATATTTTAAATCACCAACAGTACGTTCCAGCCAATATGGCAAATGTTGAAATTATCAACCGAAAAACTTTCTTCAGTTCATCTGGAAACATTACAACGTCTAAATCAATTGATCAAAGAGATCAATAAGTATAGTGATGAACATCATCGAAAACAGAAGCAGATAAAAAACGAAGAAATTTCAACAATCGAAGCTATCAATGAGCTCAAAGAAACGGTGACTGCATTGAATAAAGCAAAAGAATTTTATTATTCCAAGACGGTCGAAATTGATCGATTAAGAAAAGAGAATGCATCACAAAAGGATATTGAAAAAGCCGAAACCCGAGCAAATAAAGCATGTAAGTTTTTAACTAAAATCTATATTATTTCAAATTATAAATCTAATTTGTTTTATTGTTTAGGTGTTGAATATCAAAATCTTATTGAAAAATATAGAAAAATCAAAGAGGATTTTGAAAAAAAATTTTGTCATTCATGTCAAAAATTTCAGAAAATCGAAGAAAGTCATATCAATGAAATGAAAAACTATTTGACAATTTATTCTGAAATACTCGAAAGTGGCCATGCACTCATGGGTCAAGTTTATAAAGAATTTCGGCATAATTTTACCGAATTGTCTACAACAAAATTATTGGAAACTTTTATAAATTCAAAAGCAACCGGATCGAATCGACCAGGTAGGTCACGATATCGTTTTTGCTTATCGAAAATGACTAACCCCTCTCACTTTTCTATAGCTGTAATAAATTTTGAAGAAGCAAACCTTACAAATTCGGCTAATCAAATTTCGAATCAACAGCAATCGGCTGCGAATTCCAATACGGCCATAACTGCTACAACGATGTCCGGAACTATCAAAAAAGATTTAATTCAATCGACTACTGCTACCAACACAAACGTTAATAGTTTATTCAATTCATCCAACTCATTTTATCACTCTAATGACATCGCCGATTTGTTTCCAACATCAACACAATCATCCAATTTGAATGATAATCTTAATAAGGAAAACAATACAATTAATAACAACAATAGTAATAACAGTATTATAGCCGATTTTGCTGATCATCATTTGACGAATTCAATTAATAATCACTTGTTGCCTTTAAATTTATCACAATCATCATCGTCTTCTATTCAACCGCCGCCGTCTATATCCGTTACTTCGAATCATAATTTCAACAATAATAATAATAGTAGTAGCAAAAAAGATGGTAAGAATTTGTTAAAAATTCTTTTTCATACATTTCCCGTTGTATTTCCTTGAGATTAGTATTCCATACTTCTTTCTCTTTCGGTCTATTTGCTTGTTCATTTTTTGGTTCTTTCTATTTTTTCTTGTTTTCTCTTTTTCTATATCCTGTCGTATGATATCAGAGCCAGAAAAATTGGCCTATGACAACGATTCACTCAAAAGTTATCCAAAATGTTATTCAACAATAAATTCATTAGAAGGTTTTGTTTCCCAATCAAATCATCATATGCAAAACAGTGCAATGATCTGTGATACAAAATCATCATCAAAAGATCACCATAAAAGTTTTCCTGATCTTATTCATCATCATCATCATCATCTTACGCTAAGTCGTACGCCTAAATGTAAATTAATTTAGAAACAATTTAGTTTTAGGCTTTTCAGATGAAACAAACTTGAGTTTTATTTCATCTATTCTTTGGCTTTTTATTCTCTTGACTTTCTTACATTTTGACATTTTCAATTCTATAAGTTTAACTTATACTTCATTCTCTCTAGGGTTTCTACGAGGTCGGAAAGATAAGAAAAACAAAAATAAACAAAAAAATTTAGATGAAGAATTGAATAATAATTCAAAGATTGGTATCAAATCGGACAGTACTGGTGATGCAAGTTTTATGTCAGCAAACGATATCAATAGTACTCACCGAAAAGAATTGATGATAGATTCGGAAGGCTATACAATTCGACCACCAGATCCAGTGAAAGATGAAAGTTTTTCCAGTAGCGATTCAGATTCCGATGCGGATGAAAAAGAGAAAAAAATTTTTGTTAAAATCAATCCATTGTCTGCGGTAACTTCGTCATCATCGGTCGACAATCAACAATTGGTGCTTAGTGCTGCGGCTCTTACATTGGCACCATCATTAAACACTAGCCGTCGTTCACGTGATTCGGTTAATCCATCTCCATCGAATCAAGAACGTTCAACGCCATCAATTGCTAATTCAAGTCTGAATAAAACAAACAATCTTTTGAACTTGTTTTCAGACCCACCGAAAACGTCAATTGATTCGAATGTCATGTCAAATATAGTAGCACAAACCAGCGATTCATTGGTCACACCAATAACGTCTACCAAAATTGACCGTTATGCTGCTTTTAGTGAATTATCGGAAACAACCAATACTGTACTAAAAACAAGTGATGAAGAACCAATCGAGGCATCCGGTACTACGACGCCAACTTCATCAACATTCAATGTTCTACCATTGCCGCCTAAAAGTTCTGATACAAATTGCCATTCGGCATCAGTGCCATCATCAATATCTGGATCGATTTTGACAACGACTTCAAACTCTTTGAACTTATCGTGTTTAATGGCCAAATCTACTTCGGCTTCCTCATTCAATACAAATTCATTCAGTGTCTTTAAGCCTCAACAACCAACACCGCTTCCTCAACATCAACTATACAGATCACAAACATCATCAACATCATCTATGACTATGAACGGGATGATGTCTCGAGCCGAAAGTATGATTTCTTTATCTAGTGATTTTCGAATGACACCGATATCGCTTTGTTCATCACGTGATTCATCACCGTTAACCATTGGAATGTCTGATACAATTCCTGTTGCTTTAGCTTTTCAAGAATCCGTTGGGTCCTGTTTCAAAGGTGTTGATGAAAATCTTTCTAGGATAACAATAATTGGCTGTATTAAGATTGCTTTTTCAGCCGGCATAGTACAGATTCTAACCTCGAATCCTTATTTACCTCAATTGACATTCAAATTAAAGCACGCGAATCGTTTGGAAAAGATTATTCTTTCGAATGATCTTGTTGTAGAGTAAGTTGTTTTATTTAAAAAATATTGAAATAATTAATTTAAATTTTCACAGAGTTGATACGAAAGATGATTATATTATTTATGAAATGAATATGAATAATCTACAATCGACGATCCAACGCTTGCACAATCAATCACCGAATGCTCGATACTATAATCTAGATATAATAAAATATCAAGCTCATTCGAAGTATGGAGCGAAAAATGCTCCGTTACAATTAGTTTCTCATTGGAAATGTGATGAAAACCATACAAATTTGAAAATTGATTACAAGTATAATCCATCAGCTTTTGTAGTAGCTCCACAACCATTACGAAATGTTCTGTTTACGGCTAACATCGATTCGAATGTTATTTCGATGGTTTCGCAGCCGTTTGGAAAATGGTTTGTCGCTCAATTTTTTTCAAAGCGTTATAACCTGAGTTTTATTCAATAACAATAGGGATTCACTTACTAAACAAGCAACATGGAAATATCCGGAAATATCACAAACGACCGAAAATTCTGGCCTTGGTTCAATCAAAGCCAAATTCGATATTGCCAATGGTGGTCCTTCCTGTCCATCATCTGTCTATGTACAATTTCAATGTATTGATACTATTCTTTCGGGTGTGGATTTCGAACTAATTGGCAACGGATTTCGTTTATCATTGGTCAAACGACAATTTTGCACTGGTAAATTTATGATTATAAAAATGGTCTACTTTAAAATTAAATTCATTTTTTTTCTCAATTAAGGTCGTTATTATTGTGAACCAGGAACCATAACAAAATAGCAATAATTAGTGATAAATTTATTTTTTTTTAGTAAAAAAGGCACCGATCTATATTGGATTTTATTGGAAAATCAAGCATCATCGTGATATTTTATTTCACTTTATTTTGCCTGCATGTTTGTTTGTAATATTTTATTATTTCAAAAAAATGATGATGATGAAAATTTTTTTTATATAAATGAATTTATTTATTTTTTAATTATTAAAAATTTTTTCTGAAACAAAAAAAATTTGAATTAAGAAATTACGTCTTTTTTGAATATTTGTGATTTTTTTTCAATACAAGCGCGACCTCGCATTTTGGTTTCGACCGCGCCAGAATATTGAAATGAAATAAAAAAAAAGGAAAATTCTATATAGTTTGATATGAAGAATATATTCGTTCAATGCAGTCTGAATGCGGATTTGTTTTGTTTTCTTTGAAACTATTCGGTTTATTGCAATCGATTCTGATAGTTTTGTTTTAGAACAGTCCAAATTTTTATTCACCATTCTTTGATTTGTTTCTATGCAATTTTTTTGTTTGATGATTATTAGGATGAGCTAAAAACAGGCGTCTATTTTGTAGAATTGAAAATAAAATTTCTTGTTATCCTTCTTGTTTTTCACTTTTTTTTTTGTTCGATCATCATCGTTCAACATTTAATTATAAAGAAAGGTAATGTTTTTTGTCTTTAATGGTCAACAATGTTTAATGTTGAAATTTTGATTGCAATATTACATTCATCGCCGCTGTAAATGTAGTCGTGTAGGTGGTTCATGTTTAAGCCTTTCGAATCATTGTATATAATTATTATTCGGAAACATTTCTAGTTTGAAAGCAATTTCTAATCATTATGAAAATCATTCGTCTAAACAAACATCTTATTCATTTCATATGAAATGTCATAATTTGTTTTTATCGTATCAATCAATCGATATATCCGTTATAACGATACTTTATTGAAATCAAATCTTATTTTTGTTCATTTGAAACGAGCAATTAAGTCAGTTAACTCCCGTATGCGGAAATCGGCTATAGTACATCGACATACTTTTATTGGCATACAAATTCTTGGCGAATTATCATCTGAAAAAAAAATAAATATATTCTGCTCTGATTCTTCAATGATTTTTGTTGTTGTTGTTTCTCTTTTCATTTGAATAGATCGTTATAAACGGCTTAAAGTCAGCAAATTGAAATTCATCTTCTTCTCTATCTGACAACAATTCAAGAATCACCATGTTCGACACTATCGATGATATTGATATCAACGAAAAGGTAAATTGAAAAAAAACATTGTTTTTTATGTTATTTGGATTAATTTTTTTTTACACTTTGATGTTGTTTTTGTAAAAAGAAGTACAAGTTTTGTCATTTTTCATTGTCAAAATGTTTGTCTATTTTCATATTGTTAGATGATTATTAATGATGATAATGACAAGTCATAGTATAATTATGGTCTGTTTTCTGGAACAAACTGTTTTTTTATTCGACGATGACAATCCATTCCACAGTGTAGTCTAATAGATTAAAGAAATTTCTACAATTATGCATTAAATTTGTGGTCAGAGAGAGAGTAGATATAATAATTTTTAACCAAATGGATATCTCATTCCTAAACATTGACGAAAGATATCACGCCATTTAATAATCCATTGCATTTGGAAGCCACTACGACTTACTATACTTGATTATATGCAATTACGGGCGTTTTATAATGGCAACGCCTGTGAAACTAAATCACTTCATACATTTAATTGTAGATTGCTTGCAATTCACAATTTCATAGTTTTTTTTCTTCTTCTCTTTTCTCATTATCCAACCGATTTTAAATGAGAAAATGATATCATAATAAATACAAAGGCCAAATATCTCTGTCTCTTTTGTTTTGGATATTACGCACATACACACATGATTGTCACGGTTAAGTGGATTCACATAAATTTGCCCAGACCCGGCAATTCTTGAATTCAGATTGAATTGAATGGGCATCATCATCATCATAGGTAATTTGTAGCATTGTAAGAGAATTTTTTTTTTTGCTATTCATTTTATTTTGAAGAGTTCATCTGAAGAGAGTATTCGAGACCAGTTTTTTTTTCGCTTTGCTTGCTTGTTGGCCTTTTACAATCATCTGAACGTTGAAAGTTGTGCGGCCAAGTTGTGTTATCCAATTCAGCCGTATTTCATCATCCGTATTTTCGGTTCGACAATATCAATGAACGAAATGAACCGAAGTAATGAGCAACAACAAGCCATATTACATTTATTTGATGACTGACAAGTGTTTATATGCTTTGTGTGAGCATCTTTGTAAAGCATTGATTTAGATTGATTGTTGGGTGATTTTATTATTATTTGTTTGCAATCTATTTTTTTACGAAGCAAAAGAAAAAATATTCAAATTTATTTATCATCAATCAAAAAGTGAATTCTGCCTTTGGCTTATATAGAATTATTTAATAAAAAAAATATGGCCAATAATTTGATTCTTCAAACGATGAATATTTAAAAAGTTTTTTGAACTTTTTAAAAAAAAAAAAAAATGAATTTTTATTTGCATTCATTTGTCATCCCATCAAAACAATAACACAACTACGACAATGTTCGTGAACAAATATTGATTAATCAATATTTGATGATTAAATTCAGATTAATTGAGCAATAACATCCAAAAATTGATTATTCCTCATCAACATCATCGATATTTCTTTTTTTTCAATTAATTTGTTGTGATAATTGATGATTGCATTGATGACAGCCAATACTTTTACATCAAACGACAAGTGAACGGAATTTAATGAATGATTCATATTTTTGTTTTTATATTCAATTTAGAAACAAACAAAAAAATTAATTCAATTCGTGATAATTTTTTCTAATTTTCTTTATGATTTATTAGTAATCTTTGATAAAAATTCACCTAAAATTAATCAATTGTGATATTTCAGCACCTAGTTTTCAATTTTCAAACAAAGATCTGTAATTTTTTGTTGTTGTTGTTTTTCGATTTATTTACTGATTGATAATCGATCCACCTACACTAATAATAAAACACACAAGAAAAAATTGTTTTTATATTCCGTATTTTCATCGAATGAACTAAATTAACATTATGTCATATTGTAGCAAGGTTTGTTTTGTTTTTTTTTGTACATTTTGGCTATGATGGTGTTTTTGTCCCATATAAAAATTGTTGTAGGATTTTTTTTTGTCAATCATCAATGATCAATATATTTTACCTATGTTTTTTTTTCTTCTCTCATTTCCTTTTTCCTTCCGAATCGATCAATCAATCAACTTTATGTTTATCTATAGGCTCTGTTCAAAGGTGTTCGTGTATCAAAATATCGTCATGTTTATGGTGTGGTTGCACGTAAAGATCAATGTTATGATAATATACCGATAACAAAAAATGCACACGATAGTACATTTTGTGCAGCAAATCCAAAGGTAAATTTAGAAGAAAAAAAAATTCCCATCGAAATTCAAAAAAAAAATCAGTTTCGAATTAAATTGAACTAAACTTTATTTAAAAATTGATTAGTTATTTTTGTTTCGAATCAGATTGTTTTTTAATTTCATTTCATTTCTGTGTCAATGCCCTCATTTTTGAATCTTTGTGAACCTTTTTTTTTTAATTTTTGTTTTGTATTCATTCTGCTTGATTTTGTTAATAAAATTCTTATTTACTATTTTTTTTTCTTGGCATCATTTTGTTCATTGATTCATTCAATTTATTCATCAATGACAAAACATTATGGGAAATTATCACACATATATTTACCATAGTTTTTGGCAATCGTGACTGAAAGTTGTGGCGGTGGCAGCTTTATCATCATACCTATCGACAAAGTAAGACGCAATGATATTATTTTTTTTGAATTTAAATATATTCTTGCTATTTATATGACCGAATTTCTATAGTGTTGACAGATTTTTTTTTTGCAAACACAAACCTTTAAAAACTAGACTAGAAGGATTAAATTATTTTAACATTATGTCAATGGATCATCAATGAAATTACGATAATGATGAATCGATTTTTTTTTCATTGTTGATTGGCATTGATTTTATTGTATAAAAATTTGGTCTATAGATAACTGTAAAAAACTAAAAGTCATGTTTTCACAAGTAATGTTTTTTCTTACCTTCGCAATCAATGTTTCTGGTAATTCATATTTTTTTCATTGACTACACCCGAATTCAAATGAATCATCAATCTAAATGGAAATTGAACACCGGAAGATAGTGACCATGGTTTAATCAATGGTCTACCAGACACACATATATAGCCATTTTAGCTAGGAATTTTATTCATAATGAATCAGAAAAAAAAACTTGATGTTCGCTCCCTTTATTCGTTTTTTTTATCCTATCGAAGCTTCTTATATTTTTTCAATACTCTCAATGCTAATGGTAATCATTATGATAATAATAGTTCATTTGTTATTATTGCTTATGTAATACATACTGGACAAGTAAAAAAAAAATGATTATAATTCATTCCAACTAATGACATTTTCAATGAATTTCTAAAAATCATTATTGAAATGATTGTTGATTAGCTTGATGATGATCATCATCATCAACTGAAAAAGGGTTGACTGCACTCTTAGAAAAAAATTCACATTAAACAACAACACTAAATAAATTTTTTTTTGACCATTGGACAGTTATTTTAACGGTGTTGAATTTGTCTCAACAATTATTCAAGTCAATGCAATCTAAAAAAGAAAATTTATTCATAATGTCGAAATTAGTAACAGAAATTATTTTTTTTTCGTAATGTCAGCTACTAACAAGTTTGTCAGATATGAATTAATTTTCAACATAAGACAAACTCTAGACTAGAGCGAATATTTGACCAGACCAAGTTTCTATTTGTAGACACTATGTATGACAATAATTTTTTCAATTTACATAAATAAATCAATTTTTCGCTGAGATAATTTGTTTGTCGAAACTTTTAAAATAATTACTAAAAATTTCAATCAATTCAACATTTTAAAAATTGAACTTTTTTTTATTTTAAACAAAACAATTAAATAAAGTTAAACAAGTTTTTTTTCGACTAAATTTTCTTGGCTCTAAATGTTATTTTCTTTTGTTTAGGCTGGACGTATTGATTCACATGCAGGTCGTGTGACTGGACATCGTGGTCAGATCTATGATATCAAATGGAATCCATTCAATGATAATGTCATTGCTTCTTGTTCAGATGATACAACGATCAAGCTTTGGTATATACCAGATGAAGGTCTACTTAGTCGTAATATGCAACAACCTATCATCGAATTACGAGGCCATAAACGTCGAGTAAATTTTATTGAATGGCATCCGACGGCTGATAATATAATTGTATCGGCAGGTTCTGATCATTTAATGATTGTTTGGAATACATTGACTGCCGATGCTTGTCGAGTAATTACCTGTCATACTGAAACCATTCATTCAATGTCATTTAATCGTGATGGAAGTCTAATAGCAACTACAAGCAAAGATAAAAAATTGCGAATCATCGATCCAAGATCGGCTCAAGTTGTTAATGAAGGTCTTTGTCATCACGGAACCAAAGCATCGAAAGTCGTATATCTGGGTGATTCTCAGCGATTATTCACTGTCGGTTTTTCTCGCTACAGTGATCGTCAATGGGCTGTTTGGTCGGAACGTGACCTAAGCTCACCGCTCACAATTGAAAATATTGATTCATCTTCTGGAGTTTTGTTCCCCTATTATGATCATGATACTCGTATGGTTTATGTTGCCGGTAAAGGTGATGGCAATATTCGATATTATGAAACTACCGATGAACATCCTTATTGTCATTATCTATCACAATTTCTATCCGGATTTCCACAACGTAGTCTTGGAATGATGCCTAAACGTGGATGTGATGTTTACAAATGTGAAGTTGTGCGTTTCTACAAACTACATGCAACTAAACCTATTTGTGAGCCCATCTCAATGATAGTACCACGAAAATCCGAACAATTCCAATCAGATGTTTTTCCAGATACTGCTGCTCCTACACCAGCATTAACGGCTGATCAATGGCTTAGTGGTCAAAATCGCAATCCCGTTCTGTTTAATCTAAAGGTAAATGAATTTACTCTTGAGAGAGATTATATTATAGCTAAAATACATTCTTTCATGCTTATTACAGACAGGCGCAGGTGCAAAAACTAACAAACCGATTTTTATTCAACAACCATTTAATCCGGTTATCAAAACGGCCATTGGTGAGCGTAAATTAGAATTCATATCGAAATCGAATGCAGTTGATTATCGGGAAAAAGATTATATTGATGATGAAAAACCTCAACAACGACAGGCTTTGATGAATGGCCATAAACACGAACTACGAGAAAATGGACATTGTATGGGCAATCAGCAACAAACAGTGAATGGTTCAACACCGCAAAAAAGTCATTCTAATGGTCATTTCGAAACTAATAAAAATCATTTCAGTCAATCAAAACCAATGAAATCTGAGTCAGCATTGGCACAAAATTTTCGTGAATCAATCACGAAATCTACATCAAATGTTCCGTTACGATCTCGATTGCCATGGATCAAAGATGATCTTAATCGCGATGTTGAACAATTATCGAAACCAATGTGTGATATAGTCAGTTTAAATCAAGTCAAACATCACCTGCCATCTGCTACACCAAATATGATCACGCTCAAATACGATGATGATGATGACGATGACGATGATGATTATGATCAAGATGATGATGATTCGAATGATTCGGCAGCAGCCGATGCAAACACAACCGATGATAGCATTGCTGAAGAATTGGCCTTTTCCACAGGCATAAATCATACGAATAATAGTAATGAAAGCTTTAACACCACCACTTCTACCACCACTGAAGGTGGTGATTGTGGACACCTCGAAAATGGTAATAATGCCTCCTCTGATTGTATGAACATCAACGATCAAGATCTCAATGAAGAACTGAATCCAAATCCGAAAAATGAACGCGAGGTTAGTTGGTTTAGGAATCCTTAAAGTTTTCTCATCTAATTTAATCTTTCTTTCTTTTTGACAGCTTTGGCGAGCGTTTCAAGAACAGCGTGCAATTATACATAAATTACAATTGCAATTGAATGAAAAAAACAAACAAATCGAAGAACTGAAACATTTATTAGAAAACATTAACATTCGAACAGACTAATTGATGACTGAAGATATCAATTTCAAAAATCATTTACAATCACACATTTATTTTATTTGCATTTTCTGTTTTTGGAATTCTTGTAAAATTTCTATTTAATCAACTTAATCCTCAACTCAATCATTTATGTTCAAATTTTAAATTACGATTTTAGTAGACAATTTTAATGATTCATTCTTGTCCACCCATTTTGATAAAAATATTTTCGTGGGTATAAAAAAAATAACGACATTTTATTAATTCTATATTAAAGTAAACTTATATTAAACTTTAACATGTTTACTATATTTACGAGCCTCACGATTGACCATTTCAAGTGTAGACAATAGGCCCGTTCCTGGACCACATTCATATGTTTGTGGATATGAAGTATCATTTGATCGATCATACATTCGATGAAGAATTTGTTCCCATTTGACTGGTGAACAGATTTGCAAAGCTAATTTTTCACGTATTTCATTCACAGAACGATAAATTTTAGCATCATAATTTGAATATACAGGTATTAAAGGAATTTCAAGATTCATTTTTTCTAGCACTTGTTTCAGCACCTTTTCAGCTGGTTTCATTAACGTAGTATGAAAAGCACCAGAGACTGGTAAGCGTCGCATTCGCTTGATACCGAAATCTTTAGCATTTAGCTGTAGAAATTTAATAGCTTCTTCGTGACCAGCAATCACTTTACAATGGGGAAACAGGTGATTCGCTATTGAACACACAGCATGTTCATCAGGTATTTGTAATCGTTTGCACCATTCCCGGGCAGCTTGACAGGCTAATTTAATCTGGGCATCAGCATACAAAAATACGGTACACATAGCCGAAGGTACCGTTTCTGAAGCCAATTGCATAGCTGAGGCACGAAGTTTTACAAGACGTAAACCATCCTCAAATGACATGGCATTGGCGAATACTAATGCGGTTATCTCACCGATGCTAAATCCTGCGGTTGCAACACATGATTCTACTTCAGTTACTTTAGTATGTCGTAGGTATTCAACAGCTCCTAATGATGTGACAAATATTGCCGGCTGACAATGTTCAGTTTTAGTTAGAACTTCCATAGGTCCGTTGATGCAGAGTTTCAATAAATCATATCCAAGTATTGTTTTGGCTTTTGCAAACATTTTTTCCACGTTTGGGGCATCAAAAATAGCTGAACCCATTCCAACAAATTGACTACCCTGTCCAGGAAACAATATGATACTGGTATCTTTTGGATTTATCTTTAAACGTGATTTGACCAGATGTAATTGTGAATTCAATTGAATTTCGTCATTTTTTTTAGTTCCTACCACATCGGTTGAATTTTGGCTACAGTAACGGATGGAGAAAATTTTTATTGGCTTCGTCAACCGAAACGCTTTCGCCGTTCTTGAGATCATTTTCTCACAAGTGATAAAATTTTCATTTGAAAATAAAATTGTTTACACATGCACACGTGATAAAACGCAAAGAATCGATAGTATCGATTCAAAGTATCAAAAAAAATTTTATTGCCGAAAAATTTTGGGATAACAGAAAATAAAGATTTTATATTAATATTCAATATCGTCTAAATTGGGACGAAATCTTGGAAATTGTTCCCGTTTTATTCGCCGTAAATGTGCTGTTGCCAAAATCACAGCAAAAATTTGAAACAATATTGCCAAAAAGAACCAATGAAATGAGATTGCGATGAAAATATTGACTAAAATATGCAACAGGGTCAACATGCAGTAAAGATAAACGATGAAATAGTTGCCACAATGATTGGCACACAATGTGATTAGATTCAGGATATTCGAAAATAAGGCACTAGCTACTATTGCAGCGATAAGCGATTCCTTCACAAGTTGATATAATTAGTTTTCGGACGGATGAAAAGTATCATGAAATGTACATACCTTATTGATTGAAAAATAAGACAAAATTGCCATTATAATAAACAATAACGATATAAAACATAAGAAAGTTGAAAAAAGAATTTTATTATCCAAACGATCCAATTTATCTTGGATACGTTTGTAAATTGTATTGATTGTCATTTGAGTACGAAACAAATGATCAAGATTGGAACAATGATTGGCAACAATTTTATTCGAAATTAATTCTTTTTGTTTAGGATTTTCGTCGTCGATACTCATTATAGCTATTGATTTAATGTCGACTTGCTGACTTCTAATAACATCATCATCATTATTATTATTATCACCATCACCATCACCAACACAACGAGCTTGTATTGAGCGAGCTTGCAGTTTTTCATCCATTTTAGAAAAAAAAGAAATCGATCTTATAAATTGGTTGTGATCAATGATAAGGATACAACAACTACAACAACAACAACAACAAGTGATTATGCATGTTTTACATTAACGAAACAACAAAAACAAATAACTAAAGCTACATATCATGACAACACGAGACTCTGATATGACAACAAAATATCGAACAAACATAACGGATCGAATAGAATTTTTTATTAAAAAAATTTAAATTGAAAATGATTTCTGTAAAAATTTTTCTTATTTCATAAAGTTTTCTGGTTGCTTGCGATAGAACGTGTTCGAATTTTATCTTTTTCCATTAATTCGAAATTACCGCGCAATTTTCGGTTCAATTATATGATCAATGAGATGATCAATATATTGCATTCAAAATACAAGCAGACAACACAGCAACAAATGTTGGCGCGCATCGATGTCGATCATATATTGATCATGCGTAATATAAATTTAATCCATGGCCGCCATCAATTTATTCATTCGTTGAATGCATTTCATTTTACGGCCATGATTATATGTGTGGTTCGAATAGAGAGAAAAAAAAATGAAAAAAATAATAGTGGCGATTGTGGCGCCGGCTACTGCAGAAACTTTATTAGCAGTAGTATTTACATGCTACTACTGTAATCAGTTTATATACGATCACCGCTCTTATTCTTTCCTTTTTCTTCTTCAATATTTATTGTTGCTGCTAGAAAATGCTACACACACACAGACAAACACACTAAAGTCCCATATATTCTTCTGGTGTTATGTTTGAAAAATGATGGTGTATATGTTGTTGTGTATGTATATGTTTGGTGCTGCTAATAAATGCATCTCTCTTTCTCGATTATACTTTGTCGCGAAATATTATAGTGTGTGTGTCAAGATTTACATTTCGGGATTTCGATTTATCTTTATAATTTTTTTCTAATCACCGCATACATTGGTCATTTATGTGTGCGTGTGTATGTGTGTGATCCAGAATCTCAAACCATCAAGCAGATAAAGAGAATATCAATCAGATTCATCTTTTTTCGTTTCAAAACAATTCAAATCAACGTTGGTTCGTTGCTTTGTTTTTTTTTGTTGATATAAGATAAATCCATTTGATCATCATTTCAATTTTCAATTGGTAAGTGTTGGTCATTACACTTTTTTCGTTTTTTGACCTTAAATTTTTCATTACATCATTTGTCATTCTCAGATAATCATCATCGATTCCTATCTTATATTGTTGTCTTCTGTGTTGAATTTCGATTAAATATTATTAATTACATAAATGGAAAAACGTATTGAACTAGAGAAACGTGGCCGAAGTCATGATCAAGTAAGTTAATATATTGAATCAAATCAAATTGCTATCCATTTTCGACCACGTTTTGATGTATACGAAATTGTCATCACGTGCCAAAAATGGCTGCAAAATGATCAATCCTCATAACCTGATTGGCTGACAGCTTATCTTTCATTATCGATTTCTATCAATATTCTTGATGGAATAATATGTTTCCATCAAAAGCAAAATTTGATTGCGCCTTTTTTAACCTCGATAATCTTAATCATGTTTACTAAATTTCAATTTAACGCAACACTAATGCACACGCCTGTCCTTTGAATTCGGCCAAAAAATTATACGCCGTTTGATTGCATGATAAATCTTAATTTTGGCGCCACCTGGTTTTTATATTGTAAACCATTTGTTTTTAAATTTTTATTTTTTATTTTTTTCGAAAATTTAGATCAGAGAATTGAATCTCGATAATTGTCGAAGCACAAACATTGTCGGTCTGGATGATTCGTTTGTAAATCTGGAAAGTCTTAGCATGATCAACATTGGCTTGACTAGTCTAAAAGGTTTTCCTAATTTGCCCAATCTCAAGCGACTTGAATTGTCTGACAATAGAATTTCGAATGGTTTGAATCACCTCAAGGGCAGCGTCAATCTACAATACCTTAATCTGTGTGGTAATAAAATCAAAGATATTGAAACTTTGGAACCACTTGTAAGTATTTTATGCTTATAGCCTTGATTTTACAACAAAAAAAACTAATCCATTTATCTTTACAGAAAGAACTGAAAAAATTGGAAATTTTAGACCTATTTAACTGTGAAGTGACAGAACAACCCGAATATCGTAAAAAAGTTTTCGATATGCTCCCTGAATTGAAATTTTTAGATGGTTATGATCGCAATGATCAAGAAATCGAAGACGATGAGGAAGAAGATGGTGGGGGTAAGGATTTTTAATGTCTGCTCAATATTTTGTTTTACTTATTGAGATTTTATCAAACAGAAGAAAACGATGACGATGATATTGAAGATGAAGATGATGATGATGAAGATGACGAAGGCATCGACGGTGCTGATGATGATGATGATGATGACGATGAAGAAGTCGATGAAGATGATGATGAAGAAGATAATGAAATTGGTTTAAGTTATTTGGCCAGAGATAAAATTGATGTAAGTATTAATACTGAATATGCATAGTTTGTTTAAGATGATAAAAATTTCACACAATCTCTGCAACATTATATAATTTACGAGTTATTCTGATAATTTTTTTTTGATTTTTATAGGAAGAGGACGAGAATAATGAATTTAATCCGGGAGATAGTGAAGAAGATGATGATGATATCGATGAGGAAGATGATTTTGATGATGATGAACAGCAATCGGCAGATGTATCGGGTGGCAAAACGAAAGCACCAGCAAAAGGTCTAAAAAGAAAAGAACCTGAAGATGGACAAGAAGATGAAGAGGAGGAAGAGGAAGCCGAATAAATTCGAATATATATCGAACTCATATTTCGTAAAAATCGAACAATCGTTTCTCGTTCAGTCCCACCCTCATCATCATCATCATCTCATCATCAACAACAACACAAACAAACAAACATACTAAAAAAACGCCCATTTTTAATTTAAAATCGAATCAAATCGAACATACACACACACTTGTTTGCGTGCGTAGAAAGAACATCAGATGAATTTTTTTTTCCATTCATTTTTTTTTTCATTTTAATCTTAAATTATCCAATAATATTACAAATTGGAAAATTCATTTCGTTTCAAGTTATCCTAATACTTCTCATATTTCTTTATCTGGCTATTGTTTGTTTTTTTTTCATTCATTCATTCATTTATTCATTCATTACATTTCATCACACATTTTTCATTTACCATAAGTTTCACACAGTGAACATACACATGATTTATGAAGATGAAGAAAAAAAGATGTCTTTTTTTTTGTTCACAGATTTCACATGAACACATACATAATACATACAAACATACATACATTGAAATCTGTGAAACATATCGATATTTGTTGGTCAAAGTTTTATATTTTAAATAATCTACATTAATTGGATTCTATATATTTTTCAATTTATTTGAAAAAAAAATCTTATTAATCTTTTTTTTTTGTCAAAAAAAACAAACAAGTGGTTAAAGAATGAACAGTGTCCATACTTATATTGGAAAAGAAATCATGTACAATTACATAAAACATAACTATTGCTGTTGCTTCCAAATTTAAAAAAAAAAAACAAACCACATTTACATAACATAATTCACATTTTGCAAAAAAAAGAAATTCATTTACCAAAAATAAAACGAAACATTCAACTAAAAAAAAAATTGGAAATTTTTTTCATCAATTAAATACCAATACAAATGTCAATGCAGATAAAAGTTTTAAATAATAAAAAAAATGAGTTCTCCATATTCGCCATCATAATCCGGTATAAGATATTGTGATTTCTTCCTTGATTTGGTTTTGAGCCAAGATTTCTGGAAGTTTCTGAAACGAAAAAAAAATTTCAATCAATGATAATAATGATGACAATCATCATGAATGTGGTCAAACAAACAAAAAAAATCAATCATAAATATGAAAGAAAAAACAAATGAAAATTATCCATCCATCTGATAGATTGCGATAATAAATATTATGGAATGTCTGTACTATTATGATAATGATGATTAGAATGCATCTTTTGGATGAAGTTTTTTTTCCGACATATCTTGTTTTAGCCATAAAATCATACAAAAGAAGCTTACAAGCTTTTTTTTTGTTTTTCATTTTCATTTTTTTTTATTTTTCGACGAAGTAAAATTATTATTAGTGATATGATGATGATGACGGATACATGTGAATGATTAAAAAAAAAGATTACATCTGGCCATATGTCTATATGGACAATTATGATAATTGCACAACGGGATGATGATGCGGATAAATCCCATCCCGAATAGCCATATAAGAACGGTGTTAATAATGGTTCAATGTAATGAGCCATCTTTATTGCAAAAAAAAATTATGAACATGGATGCTCTTTTGTTTTTTGTTTTTTGTTTTTTCGTTTACTTATCTTCCGTTAAAATGGATTCATCATTTTGAGAAAATTTTTTTTTCATTTTTTCATTTGGCAGTCATTCCAAAAACAATAAGAGAAAATCTCTTTCTTTTTTTTTAATTTTATGATTTCAGCCGCGCCAAAAAGACAAAATCATCGTCCTCGACAACGATCACAATATACTATCGTGACCATCATCGGATGGAATGACCCATGTTTATATTCATTTTGTTTTTTCATCAATGATGATGGTGATGATGATAAAATGGCAACAATAACAACAATGTTTGAATTGTTTAGCCAGAATTTCTGGCAATTGATTAATGAAACTCGATATTTTTTCTATCTAGCCAATCCATATGAAACTATGTTTCCGGATATGAATGTTCCACGATATGTTTCCGAAGTAGGTGTTTTTTTCCAATAAAAGATATAAAGATCGATTAATTTTTTGAATTAAACATTTTTTTTTATTTAGATGTTTCATGTGTTTATATTTCTTGCTGTTATTGAGAATATAATTCGATTCTGTCGTGGAAAAACTATCATTCGATTAAATGATTCGATTGCATCAATATCCAGTGGTTTAGTACAGGATTGTTTCAGGTTTGTTTGTTTTCTATTATCGATGACTTTTTTTTATACATTTGCATTTAAGAAATTATATTTTCTTATCTTTATTGCATTTCTTTTTCGCAAAAACAATGAATTTGTCATCAAACGTTGTATGATTTTTATCATTTATTCAACTTTTATTATCTAAAATATAATCAATTGTTCTAATTGTGTTTCAACAGGATTCATATTCGTAGTCTTGAAGTATTCTGCTACTGTCATGTGTTTGAACATTTTCGTTTAACAACATTGCCCTGGAATTCATTGTCCACATGGTTATATTGTTTTATTTTTGTTGATTTTGGTTTTTATTGGGCACATAGATTAGCACATGAAGTTAATTTTATCTGGGCCATTCATCAGGCTCATCATAGCGGTGAAGATTTTACACTTGTTGCAGCTTTACGACAAGCCGTTCTTCAACCATTCACTGCTTGGGTAAGTCACACAAAAAAAATTCGACAAATAAATAATAAAATATTCGAAACATCTTTAGATAACTTATGTACCGATGGCTGTAATAGGCATACCACCACAAACATTTCTTGTACATCTACAGCTAACCGAATTATATATGCTGTGGATTCATACGGAAGCTATTAAATCATTAGGTTATTTGGAATTAATTTTCAATTGTCCTTCACATCATCGTGTTCATCATGCTCGTAATCGTAAATATATTGATAAAAACTATGGAGCATTATTCATTTTTTGGGATAAATTGTTTGGAACCTATGAAGAAGAAGATCCTAATGAACCACCTGTTTATGGTTTAGTACATCCAGTCGAAAGCTATGATCCATTCTATTTACAATTTCATGCATGGATATCAATGTATCATAATATTCAACAGACACAAGGTTTATGGAATAAGTTTTGCATTCCGTTCAAAGGACCGGGTTGGGCACCCGGAAAACCAAGACTTGGTTATATTGATGAAATTCCTGAAATCAAACAACCGGTAGAATATTGGAATCCAAAAATTTCAATGTGGAAAAAAATCTATGTTGTTTGGCATTCAGCCATCATAGTCATTTTCTATCATGAATTGAGCACAAAATCTGATCAACTTACACAGATACGTATATTTCTTGGTGTTGTTTGTATATTGGCCACATTGACCACAATGGGTTCATGGTTGGAAAATAAGTAAGTTCATTTTATAACCTTTCGAATTTCTAAACTTTTTTCCCCATAGAGAAAAAGCCATTCGAATGGAAGGAATTCGTTGTGCAGTATTTTTGTTACTTGAAAAATATCTTATACCATTGACTAGCATCAACGAAATGGATTCATCTTTTCAATCACCCATCATCTTGACATTTCGTATCACTTATCTGATTTCCATAATTATCTGTACATTTTATGAATTATTTTGTTTGGCTATCAATCTATTTAAACATTTAAAATTGCAATTCAAACAAACTAAATTACATGTAAATTAAAGAGATTTTTTAATCCATTATAATTATGTATCTAAAAATGGAATTTGTTTTTTTTTTTGAATTTCAAAATATACTATCATCTATGTACGGGCAATTCCAAATGTAACGGTATGCATTTATGAATAGTCAAGGATATACTATACTTCTATGATGGATACTAGTGGTACAGACAACAGTTAGATAAAGTTTATGTATTTGATTGATGATTAATATCTCCCCTTCTTTCTCTTACTATCCGTGATGTGTGTGACTCATAATTATATTCTCAACAAATTGTAGCAAATATTAAGCTTGATTGCGTTTGTCAATAAAAATAAATTGAATCCATTCGATACATCGAATCCTCATTCATATTGGTCACAAAATATTTGGTCACAATTCTGATCATAACATATTTCAGCTGATTTCATTCATTCATTGATTACAGTAAACTTAAAACAACAAACATAACGAAACATTAGCAGATTTATATCGTTCGAAAAAGCTAAATCATTATCATTAATAATCAATCAATTAATTTGATAATCAAAACAAGATACGAAGGACATCGATTTTATTTCAAATTTATTGCAATCACATTTGATTGGGTTTATTTTTGTTTTGATTATCATGTAGCTGCCTTACCTATGTTGTTCTTTATAGCTTTCTGCATAAAATTCTAGAATCGAAAAGAATAGGCAAAATGAATCTGAATTTTTGGTTGCTTTCAAGCTCCATTTGTTTATTTATAAGTAAGTCGATTCTAAATTGTTTTCCGTTTTTCCTGATATTTATTATTATTTTGGTTTTTGGAAAAAAAAGAATTAACTTCAGCTCATCTGGATCAGCGATGCAATTTCAGTATGTGCTTGAATTCTATCTTTGGGCCGATCCAACATGCATACTGTGATAGTAATAATCGTTGCCGTTGCAAAGATGGTTATGTACCTGTCAGCCATCATCGATGTGCTGAAGCGCAATATCCGGGTAATCGATGCGAAAATGATAATGTTTGTAGGTCCAAAGATGAAAATTCGTTTTGCGATTCAAATCGAAGGGATCCGATTTGTGAATGTAAAAAAAGTTATATCTTTGATCCCGAACAGAAAAAGTGCATTCTTTGTAAGTACTCAAGAGTAATGTTTTTACTATAACAGAATGTTATTATTTTTATAATTCTTATTTTGAACAGTTGTGAAAAAACCAAAAAAGTCAACACCATTATTTCCGATGACAGCAATTGTACTCATTGCATGCATAGGTATATTCTGTGGCTGTGGGATTATCTGTCATAATTTTCGTCGTCAACCCGAGCTATCAGTCAGCATTGATCATATTGAACGATATGCATCCGGACGTCGACAAGCATCTAATCATCATCATGGTGATCTTCATCATTCAAATCTAGCGAGCAGTTCACGAACGAATAATAATTCTCGTAATAATTCATCAGATCCTGATATGCCTCTCACAAATCCGCCGCTATTGCAACCAGATAGTCATTCAATATCATCAAAATATGATTCACTCATGTACGATGATCCGCCTCCTCCATACGAAGATGCTATTAACGAATATCACGATTCGGTTGTCATTGAATCACCGCTGCAATCATCATCTTCAACTAATAATAATAATACTTTTGTAGATCAACAACAAGTACAACAAACGACGATAGGATTCTGTACGGTAGAGGCTTCCAAGTCATGATGTAAACAAAAATCATCGATAAAAAATAATAGTTCATATCTACTTTTAGTCAAACTATAAGAAACTGCGACATCCAGATAAATCAACTTTCCAAAAAATTTAATAACATATCCTTACACTTGTATGGGAAACCCTTATATTATTCACAGGCAATTTTTTCTTTACTCCTTTTTTTGCTACTCATTCCATTTTCCCCTCTCTGGTCTGGGTATTTATTTCATTCTATATTCTGTATAATATCTGTGTTTGAGAATGGTAGATACATCAATCAATTCTCAATCAAAATTCTGTCTTTCGATTTTATTTTCAATTTCTTTATATTATAAAATTATTGCATATATTGTATATCAAGATATCAACATTCACATACTCAATATTCGATATCATCGATGCTCAATTCATATATTTTTTTTGTCATAAACTTTTATTTGATTAAATCATTTCATCAATTCATTTAATTTGATCAAGAGTGAAAAATTTAAAATTTTTAAAATTTTTTTATTTATTCATCAATAGATGGCGTAATGTGGTCCATAAAAACACTTTTGAAATTTGTTTTTCAATGGATATCGTTGGATGAAACAATCTGGAATTGACAAAAACCACAAATTCAATTACTTTATGATTTATTATTATTTATTCCAATGTTTTTTTTTGTGTTCCGGAAAATAAATAAAATTCTTTAGCATTATTCAATCACAATCTAATCGAAAACAATCTTTGTGAATGTTTGTCTTTTTTAAATAATAATCATCGAAAAAACAACAACGAGATTAGATACTAATCCAACCGATCTAAAATGAATTCTTCATGTTTTCGGCAATCGAATCAAAATAATCGACATTATTGTTTGTTTCTATTTTATCGAAATGATATAATTTTGTAAATTAATTTTATACAACAAACAATGCTTGACATTGATGATGGGAAGAAAACTAAACATAAAAAACAAAACAAAAAAAAAATTAAAGCTAATCATGTATTTGTCTAGTGGAGAAGAAAGAGAAAAAAATAACTAAATAAAGAATTGTTGTAGAAATAAATCATTCAAACTGATACCGGAATCGGATTTGAAATTGAATAACATATAAAATGTATAAATGACTAAAACCTTTCTCACATTGCATGGGAAAAAAATATTATTATATCATAACTTTCAAGTGAAACAAAAACCAAAAGAAAAGAAAAGAAAAAATGATTCACAAATCCCTATGCGACCGGATATACAATTTAATGCATGTTTCTTTTTTCTTTTTTTTTCAATTCATTGTTTGATTCACTAAATTAAGGTACAATTTAAATGCTCATTTAATTTGTTTGCAACGACAGACAAATTCTCATTTTATATAATATATAGGGAAATTGAGTTTAATTAAAGAGGATAGATGTTTATGTTGAAAAAACAAGAGAAAGGTGGTTATAGAAAGAAGAATCTACCAGAGGCAACAATTCGGTTACATTCATTATCCATCGAAATAATTAATGACCAAGCTGGTAAAAAAAACGGTAAAACAATAATAACCCTTTGCCCCTCTCTTTTTTTTTGAAAAAAAACATCAGCAGTTTCGATTACAGTGAAACAAAAAAAAATGCCGATAATTTAACGGTACATCGAACACACACACGAAAATGTTTAACTCGTTGGATTTTTTTCATCATCATCATTCCGTTTTTCTACCCGTGAATGAATAGCAGGAAACAAAAAACAAAAAAAAATACATTTGAATATTTGATTAGAGTCGAACCAAAAAAATCTTTAAAATTCAATTAAAATTGATTAAATTTACCAAATTCAAACGTATGCTGCGATGGATAGGAGAAAATATAAATCAGAAAATCAAAGTGCCATCAACCTTTTTTTTCATCCTTTTACACTCCTGGACGACTTAGGATGATGATGATGATGATGATGATAAAGGAATGGGTGGAAAAAAATTTCGAATAAAAAACAAGTTAAGATAAATTTGTAAATGTTATATATAAGCAAAAGATAAATCATTTGCATTAATTTGAATGGTTATCGAGAGGTAAGTTATATACATCACTATCACAGTATATGTTGATTCAAAAACAAAGCAAAAAAAGAAAAGTTTGCTTATATTTTAACATTGAACCAGCGCCAAAAAAAAAGTATCAAAAAGCAATTAAGCGTGATCTAATTGAGAATTCTTTACTCCCTCAATCTTATATTGTTTTTTTTTGCCTTTAGATTCTATTCATTTATTCATTGCATTCAATTTGGTGTAATATCATTCAAAGAAGTAAAAGTTTTGATGGCGATTAATGAGCGTCAACAATATCATATAAACCTTTATTTACCCCTTTTTTTTCATTATTAGATCTGGTTCATTCTGTGCAGGATGTACCAACAAAAAAAAAGAAGATTCGTTATCGTATACAAATGTGATAAGACATGTTCCTGTTAATCATTATCAACAAAAATCGAATGAGGTAATTTCTTCGTTGATTTTGTCAGCTCAAAAAAACTTTAACGTAAATAAACGAAAATAATAGTAAACTCTATTAATTTTCATCATCCTTTTGATGAAAAAAAAAACTTTACAGGCAATGATTTTTGATGTCAAAGAAAGAAAATTATAAGGAAAGATTTGAAAACAGGATTGGTCTAATTATCAATGTCGTATACGATTTCGATTCTATTTCGATAAATATATTTTTTTGTTGTTGTTGTTGAAAGGGAAAGCCTTTGAATTGCCTTTATCCTTAATGTATTCGATTTGTACAGAATATAATTGGTGATTGGGGTGTTGGAGGCTCCTAATAATTAATCGGAAGTAGTTTATTTTTCAATGCTGTTACCATGACACGTCCGTTAAGCTATTATAACTCTTTCATGCAAAGTAAAAAGAAAAGAAAAATCGCTAATAGATTATTAGAATTCATTTTGAATCAAAATACACATATATGAAAATAAAAAGTAGGTAGCATTTGTCTAATGATTGTATCCAAAATGTTCAATGAAATGGAATTCTATAATGAGAAATGAAATATAAAAAAAAACATTTGATTTGTAACAGGTTTGGAAATGAAAAAAATACCTTATTATTATTATTGAAAACGGTAATCATCATTATAATCATGAATAAATGAATGAATGCAGAATCGACATTGTGTATAAAACGAAGGAAGACGATTTTAATGATGATGATGATTCGTTTAGATTCATTACGATCATACCATTCATTCATTCAAAGAAGCCAAGTAATTAACAGATGGTAATCAAAATGTATGTGTGTGTGTGTTTGTGTTTGGGATGCTATTTGCAAGAATCAAACCTAACGATCTTGCAAATAAAAAGAATTTCATTATTATTCAAAATGAATTGACTATATGTGTGTTTGCTATAATAATGTAAACTGTAAATATATACAGGTTTTTTTCCTTTATTGTGATTGAACAGATCGAATCCTGATCCAGGATGATTTTCATGATCATGATTTTGGGTTGCCAAACAAAACAGAAAAAAATGAATAAATCAATGAATGATCGACATTAAATAAAAAAAATGATCGCGTGTCTGTGCATGTGATGAGCTAAATCTATAGTCAAGTCTATAGTTTAATATTAGGCAATAGTAGTTACGGTTGTTCCACGGAAAACAAACATTGTGTTTCCTCTCTCTCTCTCCCTCAATAACTGAAATGAATCGTTCTTTTTTTTATTGCTATTTGTGTGCTTAGCACAGAATTTAATTTGTGCAGAATTTACTTGAAAATACACACACACACATACACAGCTTTGATATATAAACGGAGCTAATGAGAAATTCTTGAAATTGTGCATCGATCCAAACCGATCGGTATTAGTTTTACCCGATTTTGCACGTTTTACCAAGTTGTAAAGAACAATAATAGATAATTTTTTTTTCGAATCGATAACATTATTTGCGCACCTGAGCTAGTTGATAGATAAATAGACTATCAAATCAAATCGATCGTTTATAATGAGGAAAACACAACACAAATAGAATATATAAATTGTGAAACTCGATCCAATTATAAATTATCAGATATTCTGTTGTGTTGATTTTGTTTATAACAATATATTCAACTCATTCTTTCTTCGGAATTGATATCAAAAAAAAGAGTGAATAGTTTATGGCACTAATTAGACAGAATGTAGGGCTACTATTCCAATATATTATTCCTAAATAATTTACCCTATTGGATACTGAGTGAATTTAATCAGCCATTGTAATACTAATAATTTCCAATGGAATCGTTTGCTGATTCAAATTTGATTTTGGCCACATTCGAATCAAAAAGAAAATTCTTGCCCGAAGGTAGCACGAAAATAATGAAATGATTCGTAAAAATCTATAGATGGTTGTTTTCAATCAATCCATACTAATTTTGGGCTAAATTTTTGATGGAATTCATAAAGCATTGTTTGAAGGTATAATATTGAATTATCTAATAACGATAATCAAGTTTTTTTGGTGATGGTGATTAATCAGAAAAGTATCGATCTTTTGATGATAATAATACATTCATCAACCAACAACAGAACCTGTCTTCAATAAACAGATGCTGATTCTGAAAATGAACAAAAAAAAAGTCACTTATTAAATGTTGAATGTTACTGAAAATGAAAAAAAAATTACCGACCAACAATACTCAAACAACTTGGCCACTGCTGCTGCTGCTGTTATTCTTTGGTTTTTCGCTAATTTAAGATTTTGATTTATGACCCATTTTCTCCTCTTGATTCTTGCCTTAGCATCGTCGATGCATTTAGAAAACAATGAAAAAGTAAACTTTTTTTTCCATTCGATGTGAATGAAGCAACCAGAACACCAACTAGATTCTCCTCTTTTCTTTCTTTTCTTTTTTTTTTTGGTTCACAACTGAACTACCGATCGATTTTTGTTTTTGGCCTTCTGCATTTACCTTAATCGGTCTTAGAGATAAGAGAAAATCAAGTTAGTTGGTTCAAATAAATTAAATGAATAAATGTATAAAAAGACCTTTAGTGAAAATGTCATTTGATTTGAAACTTTGAAACTTGTTTCTGTAAATGAAATGAATTAAGCCAACGAATGGACGAACCAAAAAAAAAATTAAATTGAGTAACAGCCAGTATTCGAAAGATAAGAGCTTGATTGCCAAAAATTTCATTTGCTCTCTCTTTTCTTTATCAATCGACCAGTTTGGTAGGATTAACTTCCAAAAAAAAAAATCCTGCCAAAAAAAAGCAAGAATCAGTGAATCAAACTTGGTTGAATTGAATGTGACAATCAGCCATTTTGATCCTGAAGGTGATTAGGTAAGTTGTGTTCAGCTTGGTTTGGTTGATAAAAATTGGTTCGAATCTAAACAATTCAAACGCCTGGATCAATGCCCATTGTTCGGGTCAAAATGATTAATCTTCCCTGAAAAAAAAAGAAGCCAGGATGTTCAATTGTGTAATTGACTTTCCATTATTACTGTGTGATGGCCTTCAGGTTTTTATTGTTATTATTATTATTTCTGGTTTATAAGTTTTTCATTTTGGTTCACTCTACGGAATCAAAATCATAATCATTACTAAAAAACGACTGATATGGTAAATGGATGCTCGCGGGAGCCTCATATCAAAAAAGGAAATGGCTTGATTTATCCATATAATAATAATCACTGTATAGGTTGATGATTGATTGACTTGATTCATTAAACTATTCAGCCAAAGGTTATTTGTGATTTTGTCTTTTTTTCTCTTTTTGTTTATATATAAAATAATAATATATAGGATCACATTTTTTCCGGTAATTTCCTGTGAATGATAATCATTATTAGTGTCAACGTCAAATATAAAATAGTGCATATATAATTGCCATTATATTTATGATGATTTTGTTTATGATGCAGTGCCTGGACGAGATAAAAAGCGAATTCCAAGGTTATTTTCTTTATACTTTTTGTTTTCATTTATTATTATTATTATTATTATTATTCGATCAAAATAAAAATCTCAATGTATGCGCACTTAAATTATTTTTCCTCAAAATGCAATGGAATTTCTGGAACCTGTTTGTCTCAAGACAAGTCACAATGATACAAAACATATAACATGTCATTTGGAAATGGTAAAAAAATGTCATCAAATTGTTTTTGGTAGTTGAATAGTTTCCAATTCTAAACAATTCAATTCATTTATTTTTCTTCATGTTTGTAAGTTTATTGTAGATTCAATTAAATCTTGTAGTCGTTTGTGAAAAATGGGCTACCAAAAAGAAGAAGTACGATACGCCAAAATGCCATTAAATTTTCAGGTTAAAATTACAATTCACGAACACAATTCTTGCAAAAGTCAACTTATAAAAATGAGATGAAAAAAAAGAAGAAGAAGAGGGAAATGTGTGTGTATATGTGTGAACGACAAGCTCCTGTTTATATTCCTGTGTTCCTGGAACACTGTTTTTATTTTCTCATTCAATTCTTTCCTGATTCCAGATTCTGTAGGAAACATAGATGTGTTGGGCACACACACACACACACACGCAAACACATTATTATTATTATAATAAACATTGTGAAATTGTCGTTTTTTGAATCGTTCAAAACCAGCAGTTTAGAAATACGAGATCCTGGAAATGTCGCCATCACCATCAACAATCAAGCAATCATCCCCATTTGTTTGGCAGCCTGTTATATACAAAAAAAAACAAAGATTGTTCACTTTAACACCAAAAGTATACAAGTCATCTACTTACTTTTTTCTTTTCTAGCCAGGTTTATTTGCATAAGAATAGAAAATTTAAAAGTGTTTGTGACGGTAGAACATCGACCATTTTTTTTGAAATGTGCATTACCGTATCACAAAAAATAAAATAATTTCTTTGATCGGTATACGGTGGGATGGTTGGTCCATTTTCAAACAAAACAACACCAAAAAAAGGCATACTTTTATTCTCCAGACTTTTTATTTCTTCTCTCGAATTCACTAATCGAAAAACGTGATATTTCCAGTTTCAACCACATCCAGGTCTAAATCGTTTTCATATTTTTTTGTTTTGTTTGTGAGGTATTGAATGAATTAGAATGGATAAAATAATCCTTGTGTCGGATGAGGCAATTCTTAAGATTCTTATGAAAAAAAAACAACTTTGTGTAATTCATTTTTTTTAAAGTGAAAAAAAATGAAAATAAAAGGAAACAAAAATATCAGCCATCGTTTGTCGATAGATGGCAGCAAAATAACGATTTTTAAAAATATCATATCCATTAAATTACATAAAACATACCGAGAATATTCAATTTACAAAAAAATAAAATCATGGGAAAATAAGAAAATCTGCTGAATTTCTTGTTTTAATCAAATTAAAAACAAGAAAAAAAAGGTGCGCACATTAATTTTTCGAATGATAATGATGTGAAAATAAATACAATGGCACCATTATCAAGGTATTATCATCATCATTTCAAAGTCCAAATTTTTTTTTGTTCGTTGTAAAAATAATATCTCCCTATTCGTTTTGTTTATCATTTAAACAAGTGTTGAAAAAAAGAGGAAAAATTTATGAAATTTTTCATTTATCATCAAAACACAGGTCGAAACAATCATTGGTTCTAATGATTCGATTGATATATATCAATTTTTATTATTGATAATTATGATTGAAACAAAACAAAAATGCTGTTGCAGTTATTTTTAGGCTAGAACAAAGAAATGAAATTTTTTCCAAATCGTATTCCATGGTCCATGCACCCTTTTGAAAAAAATAAAATAAAATTTTTCACTGTTTATGGAATGAATGAACGATGGACCCTTTTGGTACAAAAGTATGAATATCGTTAAATTCGTATCCTGAATTATTTATTTGAAAAAATCAATTGATGAACTGATTGATTGACATCGTTGAAATTCAATGAATATTTTTTTTTCTATTGTTGGATGGATATTAAAATGTATCAACAAGCAAACAACAACAACAAAAAAGTAATCATCGTTTTGGATGTTGGCAGCGGTAACGATAGGTGGGGATCGCCGATCATCATCATCATCATCAAAAATAATAACGTTCTGCCTCTTCTTTTCCTATGAACTAACAATACCACTCTCGATCATCATCATCATCATCATCAAGATTATTTCAGTTCAGAAGCATTCATATTTCTATGTGTTTATAACTGTATATATATGATGATATTAATGTGGATCCAGTTGTATTATTTTCCTTTCTGGTCTGGCTGTTGAACGCTTGTTGAACATTTGGATATCATCAGTAGTCATGTTTTTATACATGTGTGATGTCGCAGTCAGTGAAAGCCTCCCACATGTAAGCCCCGAAAACCAAAAAACTTCGTATTTCTCAAACAGTTGTTGTTCATTACTCCGTCAGAATGCAATTGGTTTACGAAACAAACTATATCACAACTACTACCACCATTTATTATCATCATCTTCGACACCCAAAAATCTTTGTCAAATATATTGCCTTGTATAACGGTATACTTATGAACTAAATTGTTGTTCGGTTGATCACCAATTTCATCGCCATTCTTTCCATCATCATAAATGAATGGTGTTTGAATATGGAAAAAAAACATCGAAAATTTAATGTTGATAATATTTTCGGCTAACAAAAATAAAAACATTCAACAATGGAAGCATCAATCGATGTAACGACAATAACAACATGATATTTTACACATCGGCTACACCATCAAATATGGTTTTCCATCAAATGACAATTAAATTAATGTCCATGTTTGATGTTGATGATCAGGAATCAATCTATCTTTGATCTTTACCTATCATAATTATCATTCCGAATTCATTTGTTTTTAAATACAAAATTGACAAAAAAAACTATCTTTATTTTTGCTTATTGTGAATTTCATTGGAAATGTTTTTGCTGTGTTTGTAGAAGTGTTTGTGATTCTTTTCCTAATATGATTTAGTGTTTGTGATTTCGATTCCATAAAATGTTTACATTTCATTTTTCTGTTTGTTTTGTTTTTATCAACGAAGGAATTTGCTTTAAAATCTAAAACGTTCATTCAATTTTTTTTTATTCTTATATTAATAATAAATGAATGATAATGGCTCAAGTTCCACATTGTGATTCTTTTGGTTCATTGCAACAACCAATATCACCTCAACAATCACCTTTTCTATCATCATCACCTAGTCTTCGATTTTCAACATCATTATCATCGACAATTTCGATGCCATCATTGAATAATCAACCATTAGATTATCAATGTGTTTCTCCATTATCAAAATCATCGCCATCAACATCAACAACGAAACGACGAAAACAGGCAAATCCTCGCCAACGAAAACAGCATAATGGTAGGTTTATAAAATATATATTGATAAATCTTCAATAATAATAATGTGTCTGTTATTTGTTTTGCATAATATTTTTGTATTTTGAAAGTCAAAATAATTATAATCGAAAAAAAACAAGCAATGATCGTCATTTTTTTGAATTTTGTCGGTGTTTTTTTTTCTCTCGATCAAATTTGTCTATGTTTCAATGGAAATATTTATGTTTTTTTTTTTGTTCATTATTACAGTTATTAATGGTAATGATCATTTGAAATCGCACATGATCAACCTATCGAAAAACTACGTTTGTGTGTACGTGTGGGAGTGAGAAAAAAAGGTGGTGTTTTTCTATCAAGATTTCTGGTTATTATCAAACTAAAGTCTTTCATTAGACTAATCATATAGATTTGATTTAAAAAAAATCATAGATTATTTTCCTACCAAACAAATTTTTATCATCACCTTAATTGGTAATATTTTAATTATTTGCTCTGATTCATACGCATTCATTTGCATAGACACAGACAAACACACACACACACCTCTATTCGATAATTTTTTTCCCTTTTTCCCCTTTTTTTCCGATAAAAGTTGTTTGTTCGTTGTTGTTTGATGATTTTTTTTTCTCTCTGATTAGCTCTCTTCCGATTTTGTTAGCTCGACTTTGATGAACGACGTAGTTAGCCTTTTGTTTATACGTTGATGATTTTAGCTAATGATGAAACAAAACCAAAAAAAATGGTTGTGTTATCAGCCAATAACATAAAATCAAATACACAAACTTGAAATACCATAAATCTATATCATCATCATCATGATTTTCCAAGAATTTTTCGAGGCAACAACTGTAAATTTACCTAAGTTTTGTATATGAATGTTTTATATATATTTTTCCGTTGGAGTTATCATTATGAAATTTTGTGGTTGGTTAGATGAAAGATAAATAAATTCTTCAGAATTTTTCTTTCCTTTGGTTTTTTGTTATTTTTGAAAAAAAATTGGCAAAATGAGAGTGTGTGTGTTATAATTTAATGGCGGCCACATTCATTTATTTATAATTGAAAATAGAATTTGTTGTTGTTGTTGTTGTCGTTGATAATGATGTTAAACCTGTATCTGGTTATTTTCGATAGACACTTTTATTTTGAAAAAATGGCCAAAAAATATTGATGATGATCCAGATGGTTTAGTTATTTAGTTGTTTTCGTTCTTGGCTTGACCTAATGCTTCTGTTAATTATCATTGAAACTAATGAATTGTATGTCTGTATGCTTTACTTTCAAATTTATTTATTTTTATTGAAATAATTGGCCAATATAATTGCTAACCATTGTTTATTAATGCTGTTTAAGCTTTACAATATCCTTTCATCACCGATTTCTATGTTCTTATGAAGTCTATGATTCATTCAAATATACAAAAGCATCTACAATTTCAAATATACAGAAGCCAAACCAATCCAGACATACTAACGACATTTATTTGATTCTTACAAATTGAGCGAGTTGAAAAATAATCCTCAAAAATAAACAGCAGACCTTGCAAGCTGTCTGCCATTTTTATCGTATGGAAAATTTTCAATAGAAAAAACAGCTTTTTTTCCAAAGCTTGATCTAAATATTATATTTGAAAAACGTGTGTATTATACGATGCGACACTTACGGTACAATGCGTTTTGATTAGCAATGACATTGCTGGTGGCATTGACATAAACACACGTACATTTGGTCTGGCTGATTTGATCCAAAAAATGCATTCGTTACCGATTGGTTTGGACCATTATTTTTGTTCCCTGTTTAGGTTTTTGTTTTCATCTTCTAGCACATCGTTAAAAACGACACGATTTTTGTTTTTGTTAAATTATTAGTGGCCTTGTCCCGATTGATCTGATCCGATCTGATCTAGGATTCGCGAGCCACTCGACACACACACACATATAACACATACATCTCTTTTTATAATTCACTACTTACGGTGAATCACCTTTGAATGCATGTGTCAATGTAAGACGAAAAAAAAAATTTTTCTCGTGAACCGTATTCAATGCATGTGTCGCACGTGCCACGTATGTCCAGGTGGGGATCATCATCATCATAACGGTTTCTCTTTTTTACTAGCCGACGTAGTAGTTTCAAATTTATTATTGTTTGTTCATCTGTTTTATGTGAGTTACCGATTTGTTTGATTCCCGTATCCTGTTCAATAAAAAGGGAAAGAAAAATTTTTACCGTTGATGGCAGGACAACACACATGCACATTCATAGCTCTCATTTGATCGGGTCTCACGTTGTTGCCGATTAATTCGTTATTCAATCGGTATACAATCTTTGATGTTAGAATTCGTTCATCGATTGATGATGATGATGACGACGATAATGATTTCGATTCGACCGAAATAATATTGGCCGTTCAATTGATTCAAATGTGAACGTTTTTTTTTGGTCTCATGTTTATGACGACGTGAGATCCTGGAGCTTATTAGGTATCCCGGTTATCACAAAAAAAAAGAATACTAAAGGTACACACACGTTTTGTGTTTCGATTATTATATTCGATGTTTAACTGTACAGTGTGCTTTATGTACGGTTATATTTGTATAATATGAAAATAGAAGAAAAAAATGTCATATATAACCCCCTCTGATTATGACCTTTGACCGAGGTTGATGAATAAAACGTGTGTCGAATATATTTTGATTCATTCATTCATTTTTTGTTTTGTTTTGTTTGTTTGTTACGCCGGTATTCAATCAAAGCTAAGTGATCAGTAGTGATAAACGTTCACTAACATTTTTTAATATTAACGAATATGAAAAAAACCGTTCAGGTATATATATTTGAAAAAGATATTTGATATTTCTTTTTTTTTCAATCGGCTGAAATATTTGTCAATCTGTTCCAAAAATTTTTTTCTACCGTTTTTATTATTCTATATACTTTACATACATATACCTGAAACATTTGCATATGCAATGCACGCTTACATTGTTCAATAAATTAAGCCTGTACATAGCGCACAAAGGATTGATATAAATATGGTTGATGAGTAAATACAATACCAAAGATAGGAAAAAGAAAGATGGATCATATCTTGTTCTTTGTTTTTCATTTCATTTTTATTCTATGATGATGATGACAATGATTAAATGAAAATTACTGTTGTTGTTGTTTTTACTTTTATTCGTTGCTCTTCATTAATGCTGTCGACAACGATGATGATGATGATGATGACACTTGAATTCAAGATCGATGAGGTATATATATGTTTGGCTTATTTTATCTTTTTCTTTTTTTTCTCCTAAAATATTTAATTATATCTTTCCATTATTATTATATTTTTTAGGAATCAGTACACAGGAAATAACACGGGGAAAAAAAGTCGTACCTTTTCAAGAATATTTTTTTTCTTCTCTTCCTTTCATTCATTCATTCATTCAGTGATTCTTTTGAATCGAGTTAAATTGGATGATTAATGGCAATAAACTTTTGCCTATGTTATATACGTGTCAATATAGAGAGAATAGTGAAAAAAAAGTCAAAGTGAAAAGAATGAAGAAAAAAAAAGAAAGAAAAAAGAAAAAAAGATATTCTATATTGGTATCCGTAAAAAAAAGTTATCATTAATTTTCGTTAATAATGGCGTTTCTGAAGTAATTTTTTCCTCATCATTCTCTACATTTCGATCCAAAAAGAGATTGAAAATGAAATGAAAAGAGAACTTAAACGACAAATGTTCATTTAGTCATTTTTTTCAAAAATTAAGGTAGAATTTTCTATTTTGCCTAATTTTTTTTCAATACTGATAATATTTTCATTTGTTGTCAAATTTCAAAATTATGACCTATGATGATGATGATGAAATTATGATTGGAATTTTTCTTTCTTCTCTCGAACAAAATCTTGATGATGATGTGGATGAAATATTGATATTTTTTGTTTTGGGAACAACCATCCATCAAAATAAAATTATTAATATAACGATGGATCAAATAAAATGCAACCGTGCATTTTATTACCTATTTTTTTCTTTCTCTCTCTCTCTTCGTTTTTTTTGTTGTTTGTTGATGCAATTTACTATTTGTGAATCTGGGAATATTGTGTTTAGTTTGGCTGATTAATAATTAATCAAAATCATTCATATCATCATCATCAATGATGATGATGATGATGGTTATTGGTTTTCCTCGTTCCGTGTGTATTCTCCAATCGATCTATCTCCTCTTTCATATGGTAATAATGGTGATGATCGTCTGATGATGAATATTGTTGATACCCCTCTTTTTTTGTTTGGTTCACTCTTCGTTCGTAAATGTCAATATTGACAGAATATTTTTCTTTTTTTTTGGGTCCTAAATAGAAAGCGATAAAAAAAATCTTTGAATTATCCAATATATCCTGTTTTTTTCACTGAATTCCATTAGACATGAATATTCTGTGGTTGTTTCGTAATCTTTTCTCCTTGATCTAAGTGGATTCAAATTCTCTTTTTTACTTTTTTTTTCATGCATCTGAAATTTGGAAAGATTTTTTTCCTCTTCTACTTGTTGTTGTATATTTGAACCTTAATGAACTAAAAGTTGGGCAAACAAAATTTTTAGTTTGTTATTTAGTTACCTTTTTTTCCACTCTCTACCATACAATGTCAGTTAATATAAATCGATTGCTTAAAAAATAGTTTCTTGTTTGTCCCAAGAGATATTTTCCGGTAACCAAAGTTGTATATGTAATAAGTTATTTTGTTTTTAGATGGGGGAGTATAGTAGTATACTTACATCATATAATGAATGTAACAAAAACAAGTTTGATGAATAATAAGGTAGTTAGAAGATTCGATTTGATAAGCTTATGCATTCCCCTTTCCCAAATGCTGCCAACATTAATCCAAAACAAACCAAGAAAAAAAAACTTAGTCTTTAAAATATGGGATGTTTTATTTTTCTTTTCGATAATTCATTTCATCATTAATTTGATGATGGCAACTTGAAACTTTTTGTTGTTGTTGATAATTTCTTATGAATAACCTGAAAGATCATTACCGAAATATCTACTATTTTCCTTTGGGATATGATGATGTTTTTTCATTCGGTTGTTGTCAGTGAAAAATGACTAATTCCAAACACACCTTGTTTGTACCTAGACATTTTTTTCTCCAATGATCGAAAACAAAAACAGAAAGAAATTTCTTTTTCTGCATTTTTTCCATTTATTTACTATTTTTGTTGACCTTAGCCTTTGTTTTTGTTTGTCTATTTGGATAAATAAAATGTTTACTTTTTGTGGAGATATCGATTCATTTATATTTCTATAGTATTATCTCGTTTGTAAGAAGAAAATATTATTTATCTTTTCTACAGGTTTGCTGTTATCTTTTATTTGGTCATCATCATCATCATTGTTGTTGTTGATGTTATTATTTGTTCTCGTGAAGATAATAATGATGACAAAGACCTTGTGATCATCATCTTATCTTCATATATTTTTTTGTTTTTTTTTTTTTGGCAATTTCTAATTATAAAGTTATGATAATATTGTAGAAGTATAGGATTTTTGTTTGAAAAAGAGAAAATAAAACTAATCAATAATATTAAGAAAAACAAAAGAAATAAGTTTTGTTCCTGTTTTTTCCCATTTTATTTCTGCATACGGTATATTTGTTTCGATTAAATTCACTTTTAGTATCTGGATATATA